TGTAATGTGCGTTGAATCATGAATCATTTTCGCCAATGAATGGATGTCAACATCGGTTTAATTGTCTCATTTGTGAGTTGACCTTCTTTGCGATCAAGCCACGTAGCTGCTGTACATAAAACGATATGATTATTCAAATTACCGCAGATTTTTCTTGGTCTTCAGATAAGTGTTTGGTTGAAGTGGAAAAGTTTTTGTGAGCGTTGCACTACTACCTCCCAAAAAAGTGACCAGTAAATTCTTGCCACCATTGGTCTCCCATGTAATTTCAATCTTTAGGGTTCAATGCGCCGATTCTTTCGACAAGGTCAACAATTTGGGTGGCTGCAAAACAACTTTCGAAAAGTGCAATAATTGCAACTGGGTAGTGGCATGCCACATTTCAAGGACAAGGACAGGGAGATATTCCACGGAAGATAATAATCATTTCTTGCCAACTTCGCATATTAAAAACGATAAGAATGATAAATGTATTAAAAAAAATCTGAAAATTAAAATATCAAATTTTTAAAGATATTTAATTCAAAATTAGCAAATCTGAAGGTAATATCAACAATACTTTTAGGTATACTACTTGAAATCTAACTATCAGTATTTTTTGATATTTCTGAAATGAAAACCTTCTTTATTTACAAGTAAAAATAATTTTTCATTAACTTTTAAAATTTTCAACAGCGCAGTTGCAGAATTTAGGAACCTTTTTCCTCTCAGTGTTCAGTTTTCCGCTTCCTTTTCCACCTCACTGATATTTGACGTCACTGCCCAGTAGATTTGCATATTCGCACACTGCACAGACAGCCGAACCCAACAATCAAGCCCCCGAAATGCGGAAGTCTGCGGGTGCAGTGCGAAAACCGCTACGCATGCGAAAAACTCGTTTTCCACCGCCCCCTTTCCCCCCACATAAAAAAAACACGCAATGATCCAAGTCAAATGACCTTGATATTGCCAACGGGCCAATGCGTGTGTGCGCGTGTGGGGAAACTGGTCCAGTGGCGCTATAAACCACGTTTGTTATGCGGCACTCAAATGGCTTAAATGGCCACTGACAACTGATTTCTGGGTAAGGCTAAGCCGGAGGAAAAGTCAAACGGTAAGTGAAACCTTGGCCAAGGAAAATGCGATGTGAAATTTCAGCAGATGCGCAATTAGCGGGCACTTACACGGGAGTTAGGAATATATATCGAGTTACACATTCATGAAGGATGGGAGATTGAAAATCGGATTTGAATCATCAGTATTTAGGCATGATTACACAGAAAGAAATGTGGAAATTTTGGATTATTAATTTAAGGATATTCATTTAAATGTTAGTATTAAAACATTTAGTTTTATAAGATCAAGTTTGCCTAACATCGCTTTAAGTACACAGAAAGAAAAAGACTTAAATTTATAAATTTCCACTCATAAATTAATAAAAAACCATTTTGGATAAGTGATAATTTAAAGAAGAAATAAGTAAGTATCCTGCGAAAAATTCTGTATTTCTCACAGTGCATAGGGAGTTGTCTGACTGACTTTTGACGAGTGTGCAGGGTCATCCATGAATCAGCCAGCTATCAAATCACCATCTCCCCATTTCTTTCGCTCGCTCCTTTCAGGAATAAATGGATCGTATTTCCCAACAAGTTTAGCGAGTTTCGGTTTTGACTTCTGTTGGAAATGGAGATGTGTAGATGTTGATGGAACCGATAAGCGTTTAGCATTAAATTTTTGTTAACCTTCCGCGCGGAGTTGACTCGCTCGATTTCAGAAAACGCTCGACTGCATCTTGAATTACAAATAATCGCAATTGTCTGCCCATATCTCCCTGCTCGTTTTCGCTTTGTTCGGGTGGTAGTTTCCTAGTTTGAAATTCTGACTCAGACTTTTGGGTTCGAAATAGCAGCTGAAATAATTGAGAGACAACGCGGAATTATGGCAGCATGGATGCGGAAAATGCTCTGCTTTGCATGCATCCCCCTCCCTGAGGGCTCAACCCTCATTATCTGTTCGCCGATTGTGATTAACTCGGCCAAAGTGAAAGCCTGACAAATAAAATGCCGAATAGGATCGCATCCATCTCGCTCTGGCCCAAGGAGACGACGGCGCAATCAAAACAGATATAACAACAAAATCAACCTTCTGATAAAACTCCCTCCCTTCGCGATTCCTGGGTGGCAGTATCGTCGCATCAGGCAAACGCCTCGAAATCGAAATGGAAATCAAAAAGGCAGCAGCAGAGAAGCCAACGGAAGAAGGACTCTGGCGGAGTACAGTAATACCTCGAAAGCTGAATACTTCTGGCCTCAGTATTTTTAAAGATTTAATTTTGTTTATTGGTAATAAATACTTTAAATTTATTATTACTTGAAATAAATAGAGGTTGATATTATTATTGGTTTGTCATATTTAAAATAGTTTCTTTTATAAGAAAGTAAACCAAAAAAAAATTTAAATTATGATTTAGTATTTGGTTTATATTAATGTTATTAATATATTTGGTTGTCTATTGAAGTTAGAAGATAACATTTTCCAGGACTTTATCTTGAAAACTCAAGGCTTTAACTTAGGAACTACTATTAACTTATGAGTTGGATATGTTTTTTGAAGAAACCACTTAAGCAGATATCCTGAATTTTCACTTTTCGAGTGATCACTGTGGCTGGACCGTTTCAACCCTCCGGTGGGCACACCCTCAAGCTAATCCGGCCATGCTCAACTGCTCAACTTCACCTTGGATCGGCTGCTCTTGCTCTTGTCCTTTGCCTGCTTGCCATGTCGTTCATATATAGCTATATGCTATATGCCATGGCTGCTGTTCTTGTTGTTGTTTGTCAACTGATTTAATTTCCTCCTCCTTTTTGCCGCTCAGTGATTACCGCCTCCTGCTGCGAGAGGGCGTTCTCCGTTTTTGGCCACACAAACAAGCCCGGCAATGGTACTGATGATGATGATGGCGACTTGCAAAAGGGCAAATAACGGTGTAAATGAGAGTGTTGCTACTCGAGATCTTCGACCACATGCGGCTACTTTGTGCCGCACACACACACACCGAACGGTGGGGAGTGTGCCGGTGTGTGGAAATCGCTCATTAAAATATGGAAAACCGATTTGCATACCTTAATGCTCTTATTCTACTTACGGTGCTTGTACATGATGAGAAAAAACAGGCCGGAGGCCTAGACAAATTTCCTCAAAATATTGGGTTTAATTTTGGATTACATTAATATTTTTGATTGAGAAATCATAAAGATAAAAATAGTTTTTTTTTATAATTTCTGATAAATAAATGAATAATAGGTAAATGGATTTACTGACCTTTATTTACCTAAAACCTCAAAGTTTGAATAACTTCTTGTAAACTCATTATAATCCATAAAAGTCTGGTTAAACCTAATCCTAAATCAAGTTTAATATTTATTTCCGGTGTAATTTAAATAACATTCACATTTTTATTAAGCTTAACATAAATCCTGTTATTAAAATAATTCAAAGGTTGAATAACTCTTTGTAAACTTATTATAACCAATTCATCCATAAAAGACTGGTAAGACTTATAATTAAATTTAATATTAATTTCCTGTGTAATTCAACCAACATTCACATGGCCCTGTCTTGGGATGCAGATCCGTTTGGATCGTTAGTGATCATAAATAATGCCAAAAGTTCTCTGCAAACATTATGCAAACGGGCGGTGGGGGCGTGGGAGTGGGCGTGGAGCATGTGGGTGGCAGCCAACTGTTGTCCATAAACAAGCCCAAACAATGCCAGACATTTCAAACACAATAAATAATTGAAGCCAGCGCGGAGTCAACAAGTCAAACACATTGCAGCAACTCTTGGCGATTGTTGCCAAGCGCTTTTGGCCACACCACAAAGTCCAGCTCTGAGTGCAATCTAGATATAAATCAACTTGGCCATGCACATGCAGAATGCAAATCCAGCTAAAAGCCAAACAACAGCAACACAGCTGTTGGCAGTGAAGAGGGGAAATAAAAGTTAACAACGCTCATTGCAGCGAATTTTCCAAGCTCTGTAGGATTATTTTTGGCAGAGGGGGATCGCCAGTTATCCATCAAAATCGACAGTTTTTGGGTAGCTTTTTACAATGGGAAAACTGGAAAAAAATATATTTTATAACTCTCAGAATGTTGTTAGTGTTACATGTATAAAACGGAAAATTGTTGTCAGAAGCTTACATCTTTTATGACTTTCGTATTGGTACTATTAACATATTTTACTCAGAGCTAGCAAAGTTCTGCTTCAGGCCATGGTTGCTTACATAACTTGCTATTTCCATAACTTGTAGTAATTGTGGTAATTGTAGAGCTTCTTGGATTATTTATTTTTTAAGCCCTTATGAACCCATATATTACATTGATAGATTTATAATTAAAGGGCAATTAAATGTTCTTCGCTAGAAAGTCAATTCCATTTTCTATATATTTTAGCTTTATAATATAAACCATGTTTATTTTTTTTCTTTAGCTTTTTTGCCTAAAACCAAATTAAACTATTGCCATAAAAATTGCATCATTCGGCGCCACCGCCTCACAGCAGAACCAATTGATAATTCCTGGTTTTCGCCAGATCCCCCCCGCAGATGAGGATACCCATAGCTGAGCTGGAAAACTTTTGAAATAATTAAAAAATAGTTTCGTCTTGGGCTTGGGCCTGCTGCAGCCAGAAACTGTGGAACTGAGTGCATATAGCATATAGCATATATATATATAGAAAGCAAAAGTTGGCGCTCCAAGCGAAAGAGATCGAAACTGGTAAAACGACTTGGCAACACGACCGCGATACCAATACTCGCCCAAAGTTGACTTATTGGAGCACTTAGCTCGATTCTTGTTATTGTTACGCTGGCTGCTGCCGTCTTAGCCGACTTGTTGTTGCCGTTAATAGTACCAACACAATTACATGGCTTCGAGTGCCTAGGCGGAGTCGATCGGCGATCCAAGGTTCCCGCTCGGACTATAAAAAGCTTGGGCGGCGCCGTTGCGGAAGGCAGTTAACTCCACAAATCCGTTGCCGTCGGTCCCATTTATATAGTAACCGACTTGTAAGCGTAAAGGCGCGTGTGAATCCCCCTGCGAAAGAGAGAAATATAGTGTGCAGTTTACGCTTGACAAGGATACTCCAAATTCTCCCCACCAAAATGTTTAGATTTGTGAGTTGTGTTTTATTCAAGGGTGCCCCCAAAGACATTAAAAATTAAACAGACACCCAAAAGTTAATTTAGGAATTTCTAGATTATTTAACGATAAACAGTTTATCATTTAAAAATTCAGAAAACTGAATAAATGGTGATTTTTTTAATTTATTTTCATAAAATGCAGTGAATCTTGGCCCTAAAATAATAAGAACATTTTCCTTTTAGTATATAATTTAAATTCTATGTTGCTAGAGTCTACTGAATAAGTCAGAAGGACAGATACACATTGTATTTTAAGAAGTGAAAATGTGTGCTGAATTATTTTACACTTTAAAACTTTGAGTTTTTAATTCTTTTTATAGTTATCACGCAAAACAGTAAACTCATTTAGGTTATGAATAGATAATAAAATGTGAATTTTCTTATAGCTCGCCTTGACCACCTTGGTGGCTTTGGCTTCCAGCCAGCAATATCACCAGGACCCCAAGACGGCGGCCATTATCAGTGAGCAGCGTTATCTTTCCGGAGATGGTAAATTCGGAGCTGCCTATGAGCAGGAGGATGGTATTAACTTCAAGGAGGAGACTGATTCGGATGGAACACGTCATGGCAGCTACAGCTATGTGGATCCCTCTGGCCAGAGGCGCACTATTTCTTACACCGCCGGCAAAAATGGGTAAGGATGTGGCTTGTTTAAATTTCCAGACTTTTGAGTAATTTTATATAATTTTTTTTGAATAGTTTCCAAGCTTCCGGAGATCATTTGCCGCAGGCACCACCTGCACCACCACAGCCCGTGCCCACTTCAGGATACCAGCCACAGCAGCAGTATCAGCCACAGCAATACCAGGCTCCTGCTCAGCAGCCACAGGCCTCCTTCCGCAGCAACGATTACGGAGATGATGGATCCTACGATCCCCGCTACAACGATCCCTCTTTCGGGCAGAACCAGCAGAGCTACCAGCAGCCCGCTCCCCAGCCCCAGTACCGCCCTGCCCCGCAGCCCGCCTACAATCCCCAGCCCGTGCAGCCCCAGCAGCAGCAGCAGTATCAGCCCCAGTACCAGCAGCCCCAGCCCCAGCAGGCGTACTACCCAACCACCACCCCCAACCCACATCGCTTTTCGCCACCCGGAAAACTGTCCCTGAACCGCACGCCCGACGGCTTCACCTACTCCTTCAACAAGGTCTAGGCTTAGTCCACCCCCTCCCTCCCCACTACTAACTCAGACATGTTGCATCTTCTTCATTAGGGACACCCTCTTCTTATATTACTTCCCCTATCACAGCTAGATTCTTTACTCTCTTCTTGACTCCATCAAAACTCTTGTGTGATAATGTTTAAGAGCAAATTGTAACTATGTATCGTACTTCCTATATGCGTACTGTTTGTTTGTAATTTATAATCCTACACAGAGAAAATAATAAGTCATACCCAAGGGGTATTGTCAATTAAAATTTTAAATATTCAGAATATCACTTGGATATTTTTGAAATATACAAAACAAAATCATGATGAAATTTTTACCTTTTTCTCTGTGTTTTCCCAAATCCCCTTCATATTCTTATATTTAGAAAAGCGAAGCCAATAAACTTCGAATATGTTGATCCAGTTTCAAATTTAATTTAAAATCTGTAGTATTTTGGGCCTTGGGACATCTAAGCAATTTGTACCTTAGATGTTTAAGAGCAATATACGATATCGAGTTAAAGGAAATCCAAGTTCGTGTCCTGCAGTCTTTTGTTTTTGGCCAGTGGCTTTTTAATTTAATTTCAAGCAGATTTATCTAAACACCTCAGGTGGTGAACGCCCACTAAACGGTGCATTACACAACCAACTTTCGTACATGCAAAACGAGTTTCGGTTTTGATTTCTGTTACGATTCTATGCGGCCAACAAGGAAAGACCTCAAACGGGTTTCGCCTATTTGACAGTAATCTTGGCCAATTGTGCAAAATTCCAATGAAAATGAAATCAGCTTGGTTTATATATGTGGGCTGAGCCGGAAAACCATTCGCAAGTGGGGGTGGAAGTGGTTTAATAGGGGATTGGGACACTATATCAATGCCCAATGCTACTTCAATCCGTCAGGCTCCAGTTGAGTTAGTGCAAATTAATTAAGCCCAAATATTTTGCTCAGTTTTATGCACTATCGAACACAAGAATGCCAGCTAATTGGCCGCTTCCTCTCACTTGTTAAGTTCTTAACAGAAAATAATATGTGTGCAATTAAAACTTACAACTTACTTTGAACACCCAATACAAGCAGAAATAATCTATTGATAGCCGTAATGCAATAAAATGAATTATTTCTTGGGTGATAAAAAGTGTTCCTCAATAAAATTAAATACTTCGGTAGTCAAACATGTTCTGTTCGCTTTGTTTAGTAATATTTCATCATATCATTTTGTTTTTATCTTTGTTAAATATACATTTTATTTTATAGCTTTTAGCAATAAACCCTTTCAGAAATGTAAATCTGACATCTGTCATGTTCTACACAATGAAAAATTAATAGTTCCCAATAATTTGCTAAGATTTTTACCATAAAAAATATATACAAATATTTTACGCCTCATATCGTACTTTTGCTGAGGAATTTTATTATTTATTTTTATTTAGCTACTTAGCGATAATTGGACTACTATTATTATTTTTCCCACTGTACTTTCCACATCCACCGGTTGGCATTCTTTTTCACCACCAGCAACGATTACATTAACAATATTAGCAACACTTTTCAGAGCTTAGCTTTCAAGGTCAGTTTTGTTGTGGACTCGAGAGTCCGGCTCAGAGTTTGGATTTTTTCTTTTGCTGGCTTTGGGGTCTGGCTTCTGTTGAAATTGCTCAGTCAATTAAGAAAATCAATTTGGTTTTGTTTCTTGCTGATTATTGTTTTTTATGATTTCTTCTCCGCGTGCCTTTGTGCACCCACTTTTGCGGCAATCGCAACCGATTGGATTGGCTTGCTCAATGGCGGATTTTCGTTCTGTTTTGCGAAAGAGGTAAAAGTCAAGAATTTGCCTGGAAACAGGTGTCATATGGGTGTGTTGATTCTAGTGAGTTCTTTATACGGCTATTTTTATGAATAATACTCGTTTATGATTGACTGAATTTATTTTTAAAATGGCAAACGTCGAGAGATTTGGTCGCAAGACGTGGAGCTCCATTTATGGGTTGTGGGTGTGACGAACCCTGCTTTCAATTAATATATTTCATTAACTGCCGGATTAACACTTGAAAACACGTTTAAATTGAAAGCAAATTTGTTATTGGGTGATTTTAAATTAATCGAATCAAAAGTAGAGTATATTGAATTTTATTATGTGACGAAATCTCTTTATCAGACAACAGAAAACCGAGACACCTTTTGTTAGCTGAAACTCAAACCATCTGCATATTGGTTCTGTAAAAAAACACTAGAGAGCGCCACCGTGTGTAGATGGACTACAACCATCACTCTTTCGTAAAAACTTAAAAACATATAAAAATAAAAAAAATCATTAAGAAATATTACTAAATTTAATTTAAGCTGCTCTTGAACATTTTTAGTACTGCCAATAATAGTTTGGCACCAAGACTTATTAAATTATTAGTTACAACAGAATCGTCACTAAATGTTTAGTCACTAAATCGAAATTTAAAGAATTGATAATTCTTAATATATTTCCAAAAGAATTGGCTCGAATATAAAAAACCGAATTAGGACTTCTTTAGTCTTGCTCAGCATAAATTCTTAAAAGTTCCTCTAATAACAGCTTTTAAATTATACCAAACTCTTGAATCAATATTAAAGTAAATGGTCTTTTATTATTTACAACTCTACTGTACAATCGGACTACTCTAAGTATTTATAGACGATATTTAAATTAGTAATTTAGTAAGGACTAAGTGATTCCTCTCACACATTGATGACCAGTGCTGTGGATCGGTACTTCCGTTTGGGTTTGATGATGGTCTTGGGCGGCCGGTTGAGGTCACCGCCCGGTGGACGCCGGCGGGATCGGGATCCCTTGGGCGGATGTGGTGGCGGGTGGTCGATGTACTTGGTGCGCAGGTGTCCCGGCCCGGAAAAGTTTGGCGGATAGGCCTCGAAGTCCTCGAGCTCGAGATCAGGCCGCGATTCCCGCTCCTGTTCCTGCGCCTGCGCCTTGAGGAACTTCTGCAGCTTGGGATTGTTCAGCAGCTGCACTTTGATGGCCTCGTCCAGCAGCTTCTGCTGATCCTCAAGATATGCCTCTATTTGCTTCTTGGAGGCCACATTCTTGTAGCGATCGTGGCTCTTGGGTCGAGGCACTGGAACCACCTCATAATCATCGTGTTCGGGTTCATATACGCTATAGGAATTGCTGCTGGAGGCGACGGTTGCCTTGGGCGGTGGCACTAGATGGAAGGGATCGGCTTCCGCATCATACTGCACTGGATTCCACTTCGATCGCTTGGGCGGAGGACCGATATCCTCTGCGGATCCAATGTGATCGGAACCATAACCTATGGCTTTTTGAATATCGGAGCCATAACCGGTGGCCTTGTATGGAATGGCAGTCACGTATTTCGGCTGCTTCGGATAACCAGAGCTACTGGACTTCTTGGGTATTGTGATCGGATGCTGGACGCGGATCTGGGTGCCAATGGTGTACTCCCGGCTGTCCTGAACGGAAGACTCTCCCGAGTATTCCGCGGAATTGTAGCGCTCACCGGAATAGTCCTCTTCCTCCTGCTAAATAGGAAGTTAAAGAGAAAATTAAAGTATTTAAATTTTCTGTTTTTTTAAGTAATAATTAATGTAGTAAATCTTATTGGTTTACTTAAATAGTATAAAATAGTAAATCTAGCATGAGTAAAAAACAAAGTTGTTATTAATCATACACAGTTTTCACATTCACAATTGTATTGGGTTTTATTTCTTTATTTTCATTCAAACTTTAATATAACTCGTTAACAAATTAAAATAAAAATTGCAAAATCTTGGAAAACTAAATTCACTGGTAAGCACAACTTTTAATAACACTTAGTGTTGACTTTAAGTCCAGCAAAAATTCCCAAGTTTTTAGTAATAGACACTTTTTTAAGCAAACCATTTGGCAATCTTCAAATTCTATATATAAACTTGTATGATTTGAACCTAAGTATTTTTGTCATAACTCACCGATCCGTAGGGTCTGTAGTGACTCTTCTTGGGATACTTTTTGCTCACGGGCCGGTGTTTGCTCTCATTGGTCTGAAGATCGGTTCGCAGGTAGCCAGCAGGTCCCAATCGCACAGGTCCTGGTACAGAACCCGATCCATGTCCGGATCCTGGGGCCACTGCACTGAAGTAGCTCCTTCGGTAGTAGGATCTCGGAGGTCTTAGGCCAGAAGTGACCGTGACTAACAGCATCGCAGCAGCCAAGAACTGTAGGGTTAATATCCATTTTAGTTTAACTGTAGGCTTATAACTCCTGGTGTAACATCTTACATTCCGGCACAAATTCATGTTAAGTGGGCTGCTTTCAGGGGTATTATGTGATTGTGAAAACTCTCTTCAACGGTATTAACCACCAGCGTGGCCCCAACGAAACTGAAAGTTCGGCCAACGGACGCAACAGTTTTATGCCAGCTTCCTCGAACCTGCCGCAACATGTTTTGCAATGGCAACCGCAATTGAAACCTGCCAGGTGGGCTAGTCAGTATGCAGTAGTCTGCAGATCGCAATCGAAATCTCCGCTTCACGCATGGACTTGCTACTCACAACATTGAGTTTACAACTCGCAAACCGAGGCATCATTTGCATTTCCACTAGGAAATAGAGCGCCAACCCATCGGATGGGGCAGGGGGCATAAATAAAATGTTTCTTTATGGCTGTAATTACACATAACTATGGCCATTTGCTACTTTGAAGTTGTGGCTGCGGAGGGGTTTTGGTTTTGCTCTGTGACTGAATAGGAAAGTAAGCAAATTACATACGCATTAAGGTATGACGATAAAGTTAATAGGTGAAGATTAATAGTTTGTTAAGCTGGTGTCATATTTGCATCAAACTTTGTATTTATTAAATAATATGGATTACAAATGTAGGTATAAAATTATAGATTTATGTTTTATTTAAAGGTATTTGACAAACTAAGATTATCTTCAAATCGTATTGTATGTTTAACATCTACTTAAAACTCAAAGTTATTTGGTTACTAAAACAACAAATTTTTTTTTTATTTTGTTATGTTTAAAGCAATGTTACAATAAAAGAAGAAAATTACATGTATTTAGTTTATTTTTCTACACTTAGCATTTGGTAGAATGATTTTGTAAAATTAGTTGTCATCATGAGTGTAGAATAACATATAGTATATTTCTAAGAATCTCAAGAAAATAAAACATTTCTTCAAGTGCAGAAGGTGTATCGGCACGAGCCACACGCCCACTTAAAAAGCAGAAGAGCCACCTTATCGACTTATTTGAATCAGTTTTTTCTGCCAACGGGTTTCTACGATTATTCGCCCGGACGATCGGTTACCCAATAAATGCCGCGATTTTCTTCTCTCCTTTCTTCTTCTCTTGGCCCGAAGTTCAGGTTCAGTCGGGGCCACAAACGAGGAAATGTTAGCCAGGTGGCTTCGCTTTTTGGCCTTTTTTGCCGGCACGCTTGGACTACTTTCTATCGGCCAGGATGCGCGATCGAAATGCGGAAGATATATACCATATATACGTACGTGTGCGGAGGCAGTTTGTCTTGTCTGGAAGCTGGTGGAAGTGGAATTGGAAATGGAAATGGACAAAGAAATGGCAATGGATATGGACAGGGACTTGCGTAACATTTTACCACGCTTCATTTGTACAATTACATTGGACGCTTATCCTGTCTCTGGATTTGCTGAAATTGAGTTCCCAAGGCAGCTGATGATTGCCGACAATTAAAGCGATGCCTTAATTAAATCCCCGACTAATACCGCCTTGATTGAAGCCTGGTGTATGGTGCATAATTGCTGCACTTGCTGTCATTTGTTTGATGGACAATGGGTGGTTATTCCACTCCCCGCTTTTGAAGACAAGGTCAAGCTCAAGTTCAACACGCGTGACAATTGTCTACACAATTGTTGCAACATCGCATAATTTCCCGCTTCCTTGTGAAACAACGAATCAAAAAGCCGTCCAGTCGCGATTCAAACTTGCACTTGGACTTAAACTTGACTTTCAGCCGGTGGAGTTTCCGCTGGTTTGTTAACAATGCCTCCAAAACGGTTTTTGCTTGTTGCCCAAATGGCTGAAAGTTTTGTGAAAGGAGCTAGGGGCAGGGACCTCCAAGTGGCAATAAAAATGGGCAAGGCCAGGTGAGCCGCCCAGAGCATTGATTTGATTGTCCAGATCAGCAAATTGTGGGGAATTCAAATGAACCGATAAAACAAGCGGCACGAAAGGGTGCCTTAAATTACATTAGTTTGGGTTATTAATGTCCCGATTTGCCGATTTGCCACGGATTTGTAACTAGCTACGAGTACACGTCAATTTAATAATATCTGTAACAATTTAAAATTGATTACAGACGATTGAATTAATGCCTAAAAAGTATATATTTTGTATGCAGATTATTAATCAATGCGTTTCTTTACTTTCCATACTAAACATTTTATAGTTAAAAACATTAAATTCAACTCACCAGTTTACCCATAAAAAGATAAACACTTTAAGTACCAATTAATGTGGATTATACGTTTCATTTCTTTATTAGTTTAACTCCTAAATTTTGTACCTCTATTAGTTAGAGAAATCTTAATATAACAAAATTTCAGCCGGTTTGTCTATATACGTTTTCGTGCCTATACCTAATAAGTTTAAGGCTTAATTGAATGCTTCCAAATTCGAAATTCGTTTGGTTATGTATCAGTTTATTAGCATATCTCTCTTATAATAATTATAGATTATTCTGCGTTGGCTTTAAAAGCTGAATTAATACATGATTGGCTTGCACAACAACAGCAATGCTCACAAATTAGTCAAGATCAAGGTTTGTTTATGTATATTAAACCGCATATGGCTACAAGCAGTAACAAAAACCGCCACATTCATTCGCATGTGGGTGAAGTCAAAGTTAAGCAGACGATCGTAAAAGTAAAACTCATACAATGTGTTGAGTTGCTGCCGTGCCTATAGAGATGTTGCTGCTGTCGATTTGGGTTGATGTTGCTGTTGTGCTGCTGATGTTGCTGCAGTCGCCGCAGTCTGCGTTTTTCTCAGCTGTTCTTTTCAATTAGCATTGCAGGTTGTTTCTGTCAACTTACTGCACAGGGAAAAATATACTATCGAATCCGAAATGCATTATTGTATAAGTTTTACCTACATATTTGTAATACTTTTTAATTAAAAAATTTTTTTTTTTAATTTTTTCGAATTTGTTGTTTTTAAGAATTGATGTTTCTCAATATTAGTTCTTAAATACTTTTTGATATCAAGAAAATCTATAAATATTTTAGGGAATGTTGTCTGGCAAACTTGTCTTGCAATTTCAATAACTTTTTATTGAAAATCGCATTACGAAGATACGATAATATATTTATACCTTGTATGTTGTGGATAATTTGTGTAGATAATGATGCTTTCTCCCTGTGTAGCTGCATTGAACAAGCATGCAAATTGGAGCTCTCAGTCCGGCAGACCCACGCTGATTCTCTGTCCGGCGGAGCTGCGCCGCGCCTGCGCAGTCGACTGAGCGGCCTGGCCGCCCACCATCAAAGCGTCGCCGCTGAAGCAGAGGCTGCTGCGCAGGTGTTTGCGGGGGTCAGAGGGGACAGGGGGATCATCGTCGACCATATGTATATTTGCCACTGGGCTCTCTGGCAATTTTGGCAAGATTTTCCTACCGCTTGCGTTGGGCTGGTAATTATTATTATTATTTAATGGCTTGGCTCGACTAGTTTCCATAAACGAACGCTGCTGCTGTCGCTGATGCTGATGTTGCTGCTGGGAGTGATGTTGCTGTTGTCGCTGTTGCTGCTGGCGACTTCCTGTCGGCATATTTGGCTGCTGACGGGGGCGAGTGTCGTTCATGGGTTCCCCAATATCATCACGATCATCGTAGTAGGCATATTCCGCAGCCTCTTCGTTGTAAGTCACATGCTTTTTGGGCAAACCAGGACTTCTGGTTAATTGCAATCGTCGCACACGATTTTCCAAGCAATCAAAGGCATCCTGATCCTGTGCCTGCGTTTGCTTGAGTATCTTTTTGGGCTGTGGCAGTGGGCGTGGTCGCCGCCATTCGGGGCTGTCGTTCAGAGGTTTCTTGGTGACCTTGGGCTCTAGTTCCACACTGAAACTGCGCACATTTCTTTTCACCTGCAACTTAGGGCTGTTCTTGGTATTCAATTCCACTTCACGTTTGTCATTGAAATCCATCTGTGGTCTTCTCACATTATTTTGAGTTGTATTATCTGCTTCGTTTACATAATCGTAGAATTGAATTTTAGAGCTGTAAGCTTGCTGACGACGATTGCTTGTATCCTCAGCCTTGTTATCCAATTCCTGGGCTCTGACTTCAGTGAGTTTGGGGGTCAACTCCCTGCGAAGTCCTCTTTCCAATGGAGGTCTTTTGCTTGGATTTGACTGAAGATTGTCATAAAACTGTATGGATGAGCTGGCAAACTCCTTGTGGAACATTCGCCGTGTGTCCACTTCAGAGGGAGAGTCCTGAACCGAAATAATCCTCTCCACTGGCTTTTCCAACTGCTGGCTATTCCTTCTCCTCACTCGATTTTCCACCGCGGATTCGGCTAGAGAATCATCTGGCCAGTAAAAGTGGGACTCCTGACGATTGCACACCTTCACCCCCTGACGCTCCTCCATTTTGGGCGGCAGGCCCGTGTAGAATTTTCCATTCAGCATGATCACTCAATCTTCCCCGGATTGGTGGTCATCAACTCGACTGATCGGCGACTGATCCGAAAACCGACTGACACAAAAAGAATCCGGCGGAGGTTGAGAGCAGAGATGTTGGCGTCGCCGTGAGCGCTGTCATTTGTCGTAGGCGTCCGCTTTCGAGTTCGAGTTTGCTCAGGTGATCATACCCGGGCCCAGACTAATTTGCGATTCTTGCGAAAAACAACATGAGAAGTCAATAAAAACTATGGTTTCCCATTTTCCAACTAATAGATACTCTGACTCTGCCTTCGTTGAATATCCAGACATTTATAACCAATAAGTTGGGGGATGCAAAAGTATGTTTTGAATGTTTTTATTAGAATTTCATTAACATTCATTGTAAAATTTTGCTCTTAATTTTAAGAGTCTATAAGATTTTTTTACATATATTTTATTTGTTTAGCTTAAAATGGTGTTCTTTATCCGGATAACCTAAAGTCAGATTCCAATTAATAGCAAAAATACAACAATTTTTTTAGGGCTTGTCGCATGATCCAGGATAAAGTCATTGTACCTCTCCGCAAACTCTTCCAGTGACTTGTATTATTAACAACAAACTCAAACAGCATTTCGAGGCAGAAATTTATTTGCTGCCAGTGCAGCGTTGACGGCGGCTGCGACGTCGACTGCGCTGCGACTGAGACGAGTTTCCATCTAAGGTCAAGCCGCGGCATTTTTCACTTTTGGAACGAAAAGTTGATTTTCGTGAGCTCAGCGTTGACCAAATGTTTTGGTTTTTACTTCGATTTTGGCCTGTCAATGGACCAAATGCGAGAATGCCGCCAAAGTAGGCAGACCAAGAATAATGAACGACAACAGCTGCCAATTATTGGGTTCTTGAATGGCTTCAATTCGGAACTTGGTCACAAGTGAGTGTCACTTGAATGATGCTCAGTATGGCTGACACTGCGTATACGTAATATTACATGATTTAAATCAGCGAGGTGCTCATTACTCTCCGTCTGTCGCAAGCTGTATATATGTACATATAGAAAAAAGGAAGCAAACTTCGTCAAGCCCTAGTTTATATACCCTAGCCGCTATTAAAAAATATTTAATATTTCAAAAAAGCATTTATTTCGATTTGTTTGGGTACATATTTTAAAACAATGAATATTAAAATTAATTAAATCAAATTGAAATTTTGGTTTGATGTGGTACAAATAATCGCCAAATGTAAGGTTCTTAAACTAGATTTTAAGTATAGTGTATATATATATATATTTCTTTTTGTTTTCCAGATTCATATGCTCAGCTGAGGTTACAAAATACGTTTCAGGCTTATCAAGAACACCAGAGAGCTCTGTTTGGGTCAGCAAAGCTAATCCAGAATAAGTACAATATAAGAATTAGTACAATATAAGCTCTCGTCTTCCAAGGTTATACAAATTTTGAAAATGCAAAAGTTAGCAACAACTTTTTTGTACCCAGTAATAGTTTGGAATTTGAGTGTTCTGGAGAGATGACAGGTTTTGCCTTCAGTTAGTGTTTTAACAGACGAATGGACTCAGTGGGAAACCTTTTGCCATACCGCACTACATCCTCTGATTGATAAGCTAGCCAACCTATCTCAAGGTTTTTTTTTTAAATTGGCTATCACAAATTTGCCATAACAAATTTGTTATAACAAATTTTTAAAAGAACATTAAGAAAGGTTTTTGTTAAATGTGAAAATCTAGCTGACAAATAAAACATATAGATTTACTTATTTTAATTTGGATGTGTTTTTGTTAGATTTTAAGGTGTAGACGACAATGCCTCCTACAAGCACATCGCAGTTCTTGTTAACTCGGAATGAAATATTCACCGTTGTGCTGCTTCACTTTTTAAAGCTCTTCTCATATTTGGAAGATCGTCAGGACAATGTTTTTCACTAGAAGTTTCTTGATATTAACGGCTCGAAATCATCTATTCAAGGTGGCTGGGTCACATTTTGTAGTTTCTGTATGGATGGTTGTTGACAATCGCCCTTAAGGTTTTGCACTTGTAGTTGGGTTTCAATATTGTTTAATTCATAGAGAATGTCTTTTTTAATGCAGTCCAACATTGCTTTTGTTTCCTTTCTGAAGCAGTCCAACAATGACTTGATTCTTCTTGATTTCTGTCACACACTTCCTGTCCTTTTTTTGATCGGCTTCCATGGGTTTTCACTATTTCCGCAGATTGGCTTGCTTATCAAATAGAGGTTGTAGTGCGGTATGAGAAAAGGTATCGCACTGGGCCGGAGCGTCTGTTAATACAGTACCTTAAGGCGGATCCTCGGAAATCGGGCCAGGACACTCAAATTTTAAACCATTAATGGTACAAAAAAGTTGTTGCTAACTTTTGCACTTTCAAAATTTGTACATCCTTCGAAGTCGGGAGCTTATATTGTACTAATTCTGAATAAGCTTTGCTGACCGAAATATAGCTCTCTGGTGTTCTTGATAAGGCATCACCAAATATTCTGGAACGTACCTTGTAGTTGTTAAAAAAAGGGGTATATTAAGCGTCTTGATATCGGAAACTAAAATAAATAGCAACTTGGCATACAAAAAAACTTGAAACTAATTTTTAACTTGATTTAAATAATTTTAGTATTTTATCAAGAGCTCAAACATTTGTTTAAAGAAACACCATTATTTTGTTAATAATTGATAGGATACATTTTAGTCGGGAAAGTAAATCATAGAGTTCTGCTCATTCTCAGTTTTCCGGAAGAACTTATCGAAATTCAAAAACATGTATACATACATATATACATATATGGCCTTGATATTTTGTACGAAAGATAAGCATTCCCAGGCCATGTAGCCGGAACTGAAGTCAGCATAACTTCTATATTTCTGAGGAAACCAAATTAACATTCGACTGATTAAGAAATGAAAAAATTAACTTATCAAGAAATGGAAAAAACTTTGGCAAGCGGAAGCTGGTATACCGTTGCAAGGGGACATACCTAAAATATGTCATTTCAAGTTTCCGATGACTCTTAATAAGGTTGCCCCCAATTGGATTCCCAGAGTCCATAACTCTACTAAAATTAATCCGATTTCAAAGTGGCATACCTCTAAACACTTGTGGGTTCATTCTCTAAAAATCTGCATTCAAAATTTTCATTTTAACGTTGATCAAATTTTTGACCCATTTTCATGTTAGTTATTTCTAAGTTTCCGAAGAGTTGTAATTAGATGGCCCCCAATTGGATTCCCAGAGTCCATAACTTCACCAAATTTAATCCGATTTCAGAGTGGCATACCTCTAAAGACTTGTGGGTTCATACTCTAAAAATCTGCATCAAAAATTTTCATTTTAACTTGATCAAATTTTTGACCCATTTTCATGTTAGTTATTTCTAAGTTTCCGAAGACTTGTAATTAGATGGCCCCCAATTGGATTCCCAGAGTCCATAACTTTCCCAAATGTAATCCGATTTCAAAGCGGCATACCTCTGAAGACTTGTGGGTTCATTCTCTAAAAATCTGCATTCAAAATTTGATTTAAAAATATAATGAAAAATAAATGAATATTTAGTTTAATAATGTCATTTATTTATTTTTTGTTTTAGTTTTCACTTTTTTAATTAATGTTTGCCGTTGTGAACTGAATTGGATGTGTTCTGAAATGTTACTTCCAATTAAGCGCATTAAACTCAATTTAAAAATTTAACCAAAATTGAATTTAAATGATATTGGTACTTAACATTTCACCCTCTTATCTTCATTATAAACTTCTTCCATTTTATTTAATTAAATTAAATTTATTTTCGCTTGATCTTTACATGGTTTGCCATTGGAATCGAGTGGGGAGATGTGTGGGGAGCTTTGCTGATGGACACTACTACTGCTACTCTGTTTTGTTTTTCTTTTCATTATCGCTTTTATTTCTTTTTACCACCCAAGTTGCGTTTTTTAGTCGAAGACGTAATTGGTGTACGTAATTAGCTTAATTTACAAACAATGCCATAGAAACACATACAATATCATACACGCGGTTTGAATATGGGTCTATGTGAGTTGTTGTTGCTACTTTGGGGAGGGGGGGTCTGAAAACTGCATCGAAATGGCATGTATATATATATCTCAGTGTGGTGGCTGCCTTATGGGTTAGATGGTACTACAAGTTCTGCGGGGGGATATGTTAGGTTGCTTAGACTACATTTGATTTGGAGTTGACTTCGCTGACACGTGGGATCTATGCTTTATAATCTGACATTTACAAACTTTGTTTTTTGCTGGGTAGAGTTTTTAAACATATACTTAGGTTCGCTCTTGGCTGCTTAAGACTTTATTTACAATTTGTATTTATAGCTGGTGGCAGTAAGCCCCAACGAGGCTTTTGACCCGGCCTTTCTCCTCGCCAGGAATTACTGTGGCTGCTGCTGCTGTTGCTGTTGTTGCGGCTGCTGTTGCTGCTGCTGCTGCTGCGGGGGCAGCAGTTGCATCGGCGACATAACTATTATATTGGTGGCTCCAGCAGCTGAATGGCCATATTCCAGAGGCTTCTGCATCGCCTCCACATCGAGATCCGGGGCCCTGGTGATCACGCAGTACTGATTCCCATTGTAGGTGACAATGGGCATGCCGTGTTGCATGTTGCTGGCATGCTCGCTCAACTGGGCCTGCATGTAGGTGGCGGCAGTTGGCGAATTGGCAATGATGTGCGACACCGGCACGGACACCTGAATTTGCAGGGAAAGAGGAAACGGAAGGGTAACAGAATACAGAATACAGAATGCGGAAATTCGAATTTTCTACAGTTTTTGGTGTTCTATGTTGCTGTTGGCTGTCGGTGTTGCTGTGGTTTTTCAGTTCATTTTGGTCTTGTTTAATAGGTAGTTACTTCTTGGCCCTGGTTGTTGCCGTTGTGGTTGCTACTACTATTGTTATTGTACATAGGCGCACTGGTCTGTTGCTGTTGTTGCTGCTGTTGCTGCTGTATATGTTGCTGGTGCTTTCTGGCTGCCTTCTTGCCGTGGGCCACATGTTGCTGCTGCTGCTGTTGCTGTTGCTGCTGTTGATGTTGCTGCGGTTGAGGGTGTTGCTGCTGCTGCTGCTGCTGATGACTGGCATTGAGTATCATTTGGTTTTGTATGATTATCTTCTGCTTGCGTGCTTGGGCCTCCATTTGTATTTGATTTTGATTGGAATCCATTTGGTAGCTGCGATTATTGTTGCTGCTCGTGGTCTTAGCAATTACTCCTGCCGCCGCCGCTGCTGCTGCTGGTTTTGTTGACTCTGCGACTAGCCGTTCCGGCTGTCAATACTATAAGTTGAAGAAAGTAAAATAAAAGAGTTAAGTCCATTCCAAAGAACTCCAAATATCTCCATGGGTTCACTTTATCCAGGAGTGTCTACCGACATCTTCTCACCTCCAGATGACTCTTGGCGTGAATGGACCACTCGTCCCGACTCGAGAACATCCTGCCGCACAGCTCGCAGGTCCAGGATAACTGCTGTTGGTGGTGCGGGATGATGATCCCGGGAATCGACGCCGGCGCTCCTTGAGCGGATTGCACAATTATATTCTGGGCGGCCACCTGGACCGCCTGTTGTTGTAGCTGAAGCTCTAGACTTTGCTTATTATCCTCCGGCGGAGGATCTGGTTGCTCCTTCTTCTTCACCATGTTGTTCAAACGCTTTCCGAGTGGCGCAATATTCGTGGGCGTCACATGCTTGAACTTGTTCATGTGGATCACCAGTTTGTCCCGTCTGGCAAATGCCTTATTACAAACCTGAAAAGAAGAATTTGAGAATGAGAGTTAGAGGATGATATTGCTTAATGGTGCAGGGGCTCGAAGGCAGCTTATACTTCACAAATATAGGGCTTCTCGCCGGTGTGGATGCGCATGTGGATGGTCAGCTTGTCCTTGCGGGCGAGTCCTTTGCCACAGACCGTGCATTCGAATGCCTTGTTGGTGGCTGAAAGAATAGATAATCTCTTGATTAATACTGATAAGCAATTGAAGGAAATATTAGATTAGAAATTTTAGAATTATATTACACATTTAATAGTCATCAAATTCATCCGTAATTTTATATTGATGAACAGTCATTGATTAATGAATCAATAAATTGTCATGAATTCCTATCAGTATTATTATTATTTTTAGTAAGATTTGACTAATCCGAGATTTATCATTTTTTATAAATGGAAATTTTAATGTTGAAATGTGGAAATATTTTATTGGAAAGCTTGCTATATTTCATTGTTTAATATCAAAAAGTAAATGATGAGTTTCATTGGTGAATTTATTGGAAGAATTTACTTACATTTTGAGGGATTTGTCTTGCGGACCCCCGAGGATGCCTGCTGCACCTGTTGCAGTGCCTTTAGTCGACTCGCGGGGTGCATCGAGCCTCCCTCGACATAGGGCTCTGTGAAGGGGATGAGGTTCGGCTTGGGGATGTTGTAGGTCAGTTGCTCGGCCGCCGACCATGTGCCCAGGCTCTGTAGGACCCTTACACCTCCCTCGAAACCCATCCCGTCGTCCGGAACTGTGAAGGTGCTCTCGCCCGCCGCCGCAGCTGCCACACTTGAGGAACTGATCTGTGGCACTTTGATGGTTGCCGCATAATGTTGCTGCTGTTGTTGTTGCTGCTGCTGTTGCTGTTGCTGCTGTTGTTGCTGCTGTTGCTGTTGCATGTTGCCATTGTTCTGGCTGTTGTTATTGTTGTTGGCTGTGGGCGAGTTCTGCTGCTGGGAAGTCTGCTGCTGCTTGAACTGAATGGCCGCCTGGGCCATCTGCTGCTGCACAGCCATGTGCGCCTCAAGATATGCGTTCTTCTGGGCAACCGTCATCTTGTCCATGTTAACGGCGCCGCTCTGGAAAATAGGGAATTTGATGAATCTGAACAAAATCAGAAGGGTAATGTATTGCAGAATAAGTCAAATATTTATTTTCGTAGCTAACCGAAAAGATTTGGCAGATATTTGAATTAGTTTTGTATTGTTATGGTATTAGATGAAGATCCCTTTTTTATATTCCTGACGACCACACAATTTATACGCTCTATAATAACATTACTTAAGCGGATCATCTTCTTGGGATCTATAATTCTTCAAGGGTATTCCAGTCATCGTTAGTCTTGTCGTATAGCTTGTAATTCCAATCCCATTCTGTTCCCGGAACCCCAGCAATGCCACCCCTAACAAACGAAAGCTGGAACTGTAAATTGTGGGGGTGTGTGCGATTGTGCGAGTGTTGCGAAATTTTGCCAGCGTCAACAGCGACGTTGGCAGAGGCAGAGGCGCCTGTCAACCCCCCTTTCGCGGAAAAGCACTCGACTCGATTCGACTCGGCCTGCCCTTGCGCAAAAATTTGTGACTTGAGCTTTTCCCAAACCAACTTTTGGGTTTACCACCCCCTTGTGGTTGTGTGTGTATGCCGGCCGCTTCTTCCTCTTCCGTTTCTTCGGGCTTCCTCTTCTGCTTCTTTAGCTTTTTTTTGGTCCGTGGTTTGAGGCTTTTCCGTGTCTGCCCGGATTTATTTTTAAGCGCGCTATGATTTAGGCACTACTTTTGAGTTTGCGTTTTTCCCACCTTATTTTGTCAACACTGCACTATGTTATTTAGCTATTCGTAGATATTTTAAGGCAATTTTAGCCACTTTTTGTTAGCACTTCCTTAAACCACCACCGCCCCCCTTTCTTAAGTTTGGCCATTGACATTTTCTGTGGCATTTTCACTGCCAGTTGGTGGGCTTTTCTCGTGTTTCCCGTATTTTATCATCGTTTTCACTGCGTTTTCCGCTTACCACACTTGAAAATCAATACGAAATGGTCTCCGCTTTTCCGATTTTCCGCTTTTCCTCGACGCGAATTCGGTGGAAATGCTGAGCCGCCAAGGATTCGCCGTCGTCTACTTCCCAGCGCCTATTGTTTGTGTATGTATTGCGAAACCGAAACCGATTCACTTCTCTTCCACTTTTGACTCGACGTCGACGCAAAAGCTCCGCTGCTCACACCCCCCACTTATTATTATTTTGAGTAATTATTTGTTATTTTTGGAAGGAAGCAGGACGCAGGAGCGACGGCAAAATCGGCGGACAGATACCGACTGTCGATTTGCTTTTGCTTTTTGGCCAACAAAATGCGGAAGCGGTAAGGCCAAAAGCGTTGCATACCGGCTGAGATTTTTTCGTAAAGCTTTCCCGCCCCCCATTCCACTGCCACTGTTCCGGTGGTGGTTGCTAGCAACGGTGGAACGGTCCGGCATTGAAACACACCCCGCAACAGCGACAACAACAACAACTGCAGCACCAGCAACTTTTCGCTATCTCAATTGCTGAGGTGGCTTAAAAGACTACCGTGGTACGAGTACTAACTAAAACTTCATAACAAAATACAATATCCCGAAAAGCAAATGGAAGGAAGTCGAATATCTTTTACTGTAACTACTTTTTTTTAAAACAGTGAAACTGCATTCTCAAAGATTTTATTTATAGTCTTCGCTGGAAATAAAGGATAGCCTGATTAAAAAACGAAAACTAAGAAAAGGCAGACATTTGCTTAAAAAGTTTCCTAAATTCAAATTTCTTATTGATGTTCTTCTTAATAAGCCCTATTCCTTTTACTTTGCCATAGACCACTGTGTGCAGATTAGGCACTCGTTTGCTTAGCCCAGTTCAAGGCACCTGCGACAGGTAGACAGACATCCATGACCCGCATGGCTTAGCTATGCGTATCTTCTAAACTTCCGGGTGGATATATATATATATTTTTTTTTTTTTGCTATTAATGGACTTTTGTCCTGATTGTAGATCGTCCTGGTACTTAAAAATATAAATTGTCGCTGTCATTAAAGTTGCATATTTTGCTGTGGTGCATGCTTACAGCGTGTTAATTCTAATAACTTCTGCTGGAGTGCATGCTTACAGCGAGCAATTACTAATAATAAAGCCTAGACTCATAATTAATAATTTAAAAATTAAATAACCGGTGCCAGTAAGCCATTGACCAATTTCAAAAAAATTAATTTGCTTAGATCAATAAAACTCCAATTAAATGCAATTTGAACAAGCAAAGTCTATTGCTATCCTTATAATTGGGTTGATTGCAGCCACGTTGCAGGGCACTTTGCATCGCGAAAAAGTGTGCCACTTGCAACGCACACTTTTGCAGAGAAAGTTGGCCCATAAATTATATTTGATTTCATTGTTTGTTCTATTTTTCTACGTTTTTTATTGGACGCTTAAAAGGAGCGAAAAAAACTTCGCCTGCGTTTTTTGTAATGTTGCTGGCGGGAAGTTAGAAGTTTGAAAGCTGTTGCTGCCGTGTCTGTTGCTCCTGTTTATATTGCTGCTGTGTAGGTTGCACTCTCCGGGGAAAAAATGCAGGACCTCCTCCCGAATTCTGCGAGTGCGCAATTGCCATTTGAAGGTGGTTCTACTGGTGCAATGGCAAACGCAAAATTGCGCGCATTGCAGTCTATTTTTGTCTATGTTTCAAAAAAACAAACGATGTGGCAACAGGTGCACTAAAGAACTGAACTTAGGCTTCGGGTTGCTCTGCAGCTGGAGGAGCTTCTTCAGCGGGTGGAGCGGCTTCGACTGGAGGAGCCTCTGCCGCAGGAGGAACCACTACCGGAGCGGGAGCAGGTTCTCCTGCTTCCCCAGTGGCAGCATCTCCCGCATCCGACTCCTCATCTTGAGCTGGTGGCGGTGCAGCCTCGTGGACACTCCTGTCCGACTCCACATCCGAACCACTTGCCTCTTCGCGACCCTCCTCCTCCATATCAAAGGCTTGTCCCTCCTTGGACTCTTGTTCCTCCTCCGGCTGGATCTCCTCATAGACCACTACCTCCTTCCACAGGATCTCCTCGTCCACACAAACTGCTTCCTCATCATGCGGTTCCACTCGCTTATTGAGATCCAGTTCCGAGATGCAGGTCTCAGTCCTTTCGAATCCTCCACAGGTGACACATGAGGAGGACGAAAGCAGCATGGATGAGTGCGGTGAAGTCGAGGACAAGGGCGAGCTGCTGCTCTGTGTCTTTTTGGCACGTGGTTGCACGCCCCTTACACTCGGCATCGGGGCATAGGTCATGGTGGTCTGCTGCGACTTGTCCTGGATGCCCACATCCGGTCGCTGTTGACACTGGTTGCTGATCTGTGGCATCTTTGGGTTGCTGCGCACCAAATAATCGGATAATCGCACCTTCCAGTTCTCCTGGCTGCAGTCTATATTCTGCATTATGTCGTAAATCTCCTCCAGCAGCGGCTTCAGCATAGGACGATGGCAGAAGTTGTTATGGTCGAACATCTGATGGGGCTCATGGATATCTAAGGAAAAGACATGCATAGTTTGAAGAGCATATTTCACATTTGGTACTCTCAGAACCATCCAATTTTATATTATACAAATGCAACTTACAATTGGGAAAAATAAAGTTTATTTCTCGAGCCACGCTGCGGCTGTTTTTGGTAACATGAATATTGCGTTCCAGATCTGAAGCCGAACCACTAAAATCTCAATTTCACCTTCAAAGAAGCAATTTGACAAGCCCAGATTTAACTTACAAATAACAAATCATGATGTTGAGCAGATCCTGCACGGCTTTCTCTTTGGTAACGATAAAAGCCTCGAAACGCCCTTCGAAAGCAGAATGACCTCCAACATAAATCCTTTTTCATCGGCGTAATCGGCATAGAACTCGGCAGCCGATTCCGGCGAGAAAGCGATCCTACGATTGCCCTGAAGCTGAAATCCCTCAGCTAGCAACTTCAAAAGCACCGGACGCCGCTTGTGCAGATAGTCCGGCTTTATGATCAACAGCGAATTCTCAAACATATCGGTTAAGAAATATATAATACCGAGCCAGGGATAATTGGGAATTTTCAATAACGAGTTGCTTTGTCGATTTGTGTTTTCTTTATGATTTATAAGATCAATGTTCGTATTTTACACAGTTTTCTTTGATATCTTAAACTACACACACTGCTCAGCTGACTTCGGACAGATGGGGATATCGTTACAAAGTTAGTGGCTTGCGGATTTCGCTAATTTGTATATTGAAAGTACGTTTATGTTAGTCCTTAATGTAAGTTTCAGTTAAGTTTTACTTTTTTCAGCCGGGTTTGAGTGCGTTTATAAAATCAGTTACATCACAAATTCTCCTAACAAATTTAGAGCCAAAAACAGGGATACGGAAACGAAAAGTAAGTAATTATGTTTCATTTACAGTAAATCGTTTAAGAATGTAAACAGATATAAAGGTATATGCATATATAAAGCGTGGGATTGGCTCCCTCCTTCTCCTCCTCAACCTTCTGCTAATCCTTCCACTCCTCTTCGTCTTTTTCGCACATCACAACGCATCACTCAAAGGGATGTTCTTAAGCTGTTAAAAAAGAGGTAAGTTATTTATGTACTTTTTTAATTGTTTTATATACATTACCTGAAATTCTGGCAAAGGCCAGCGCCGACTTCTCGCTTTCAAAGCACTTGCCAATCTCGGCGCAGATATGCGGCTGATCCACATAAGGTCGCTTGGAAAGGTTCTTAATGCTGTGGCCATAAATGGAGATCATCTCAGAGCACTAAAAAATAACAGAATTATAAGAATTTGTAATAAATATATATACAAAAAGTCTTACAATCTTATAGTACTTGGCTGGCAAGTTCTCGCATGCCACCGATGTCATCTGCAAGGTGGTTAAGTCTTCATCTTTTTTCTCGTGCAGGAAGGGCACCAGAGCCTGGGTGGCTCCATGGCAAACACCGCACTCTACAACCTCGTCGGTGACAGCCACGCTGAAGCAGAGCTGCAGTTTCTGGCACACCTCCTTGGGTGGGACATCGCTCAACAATTTAAGGACTGCGGCGGCATATCCCTCTACGAAGGCATCGCACTGTTTGCGAACGGTGGCTGGTAGATGTTCGCAAACCGCCTTGATCGCACGCTTGATGTCATCCTGTTCGGTTTTGTTCTTCAAATCGGCCTCCAGCTTGGTCATGATGAACTCGCAAAGGACACAAGTGGGCGGCTCCTTGATGCTAGTCGCCCTGTTGTCCTCATAGGGCAAAGCAATCACGTCGTACTTCAAAGCCTCATCCACTTCCACTGGTTTGAAGGAAATAAATTAATTACTTTTAATAAATGTATTTATCTAAATTAAATACTCACGATCATCCAGATCAGCCAGGATGCACATTCCCAACTCCGTGCAGATCAGCTTGGGGTCCATCTCCTTGAGCAGCAGATCGGCTATCTTGTCGCCGTACTTGTCGATAACCTTGTGGCATTTTCCGGCCAGCGGCTTTTTCATTTTGTTGCAGGAGTCCTCTAGAATTTGCTTGATGCTGTCCCTAGTGGGGTGCTTACCCATACGCTTCTCCAAGGTCTTTACCAGCTCCTCGCAAATCAGGCAATTGGGAGCACTGGTGAAGCCCTCGTCGAATGCCAGCTGAATGGGCAGTTCCTCAAGAGACTCGATGTCGTTGAAGCGCACCTCTTCGCTACTGGACTTGTCCTCACCATCGACATCATCATCCAGGCTAATGCCCAGATCATCAAGAGCACTAGTAGACTTCGGGCAGAGTTTCAGTTGAACGCAGATCTCTTGCGGCTTGAAATCCGCAATCAGCATGTCAATCAGTTCGTTGGAATAAGTGTTTACAAAGTCCACGCACTCATCCTTCAGCTTGTCGGGCAGGTGGCCGCACAGGCCATCCAGCACATTCTTGATGTTGGCCTTGGACTTGTTGTCACGGATCTTTATCTGGGCCTGCTCGACGGCGAAAAGGCACAGCGGGCAAGTAGGTGAATCCTGTTCATCGCTGATTGATTTTGGATGGAAGACTTCGACGTCGTCCTTCTTAGGCAGATTCTTTGGGCACATCTGCATAATGGGGCACACATCACGAGGATTTAGTTGCTGGACGAGCAGAGCAATTACCGCATCGCCATACATCTCGACAAAGTTTCGGCACTGACCGGCGACTCCCGAAGGCAGCTTGGTGCAGATATTTTCTACGGTATGCTTGATCTCGTCATCAGTGGATGGGGTGGCCAGAGTCTCCTGGATGAAGTGCAGGAGGTACTCGCAGATGGTGCAGAGCTCTCCGCCCTCCACCAACGCTCCAGGATTGGCTGCGCCCATAAGATGATCGATGGGCAGCTGCATGTCCATGATCTCCTGCTGGCTGAATTTGGGTTCACTGGCTCCCAACTGCTTTTTAGGGTGCTTCTGCAGTTTCTCAATGGTTATTTTCACCTGGGCAGGTTCAATTAGAGGCAGAAGAGGCATAATGGGCGCATCCTTCACTGCGGAGGCGGAGCTCTTTTGGCAAATGCCGATCATGCAGCAGGCTCCATTGGCATCCAACTTGTTGACAAGGGTTTCGTAGATCACATGGTAGTACTGGTCCACGATGCTTATGCACTCGTCCTTGAATCCACGCGACTGCTTGCAGAAGCCCTCCATTACCTGCTTGAACTCGGATTCCGTGGTGTTGGCCACCAGGACATCGCGCAAGTGCTTCACCAGCTGCTCGCACAACTCGCAGGGAATGTCATCGCCGGCATCCAGAGCAACCAGAGCTTCTTCGGGCTGCTTATCCTCTTCGTGTTGGTGATATCTAGAGGCACAAACTCCCGAAACATGGCACAGGCCATCCGTGGTCAAATGCTTGCTGACATGGTCGTAGATATCGTTGAAATATGTCAGTACAATGTTGGCACAGGCATCTGAGAAGCTCGACAGGGATCCGCACATATGAAGCATTGTCTCCACCATGTCATCGCGATCGACGGCTGCAAATTTAGAGTGCATCAGGCGCGAAAGAAAGTTACAGTTGCCGCAGGTAAGCTGATTTGGCTGCAGGGTCAACTCCTCCGAGCTGTCGTTGTCTTCCGTGGCAGTTCCATCAAGAGCCGACTGGATGCCCTTCATGACCAGATCATCGATGTGGGCACTGTTGCAAAGTCCGGCCACAGAACAAACTTGCTGATGGTTCAAAGAAAAATCAGAGGTTAAAAAGTGATTCGGGAAATGCTATTTCTACAAAGAATTATTCATAGCCATATATCAAAACTCACATCTGGGTTCATTTGGGAGGCCAAGGCCTCGACCAACTCGGGCAGGAAGTCATCGGCCATCTTGATGCACTCCTTTTGCACCGGTTTGATCGGAATCAACCTGCAGGAGCCCTCGAAGACCTCCTTCAACTCCTCCTCGGTCTCATTGCTCTTTAGCTGATCGCGGGCCTGGGTTACCATATCCTTGCATATCTTGCAGATCGAATCCGTGTCCACGGGTACCTGTTTAGTCTCCCAAACGGTTTGGATGCAATGGCGGGTGGCGCGACATTCCTTGGAATTGCTGCGGAGGGTAAACGATAATTTGCTTTAGCAATTTCCCTTTATTAAAATGATAAAATTATGTGAATAACAAACAGAGCCGGGGTGTAAGCTGATCATACAAAATGCTTCCTCTTGGATCAAATGACCCGCATTCGTAATCGAGTGGTCAAGTAGAATCCGACGATTCAGCAAGATCAGAGTCCACTCGAAAAGGGATTAGCCATTGAAAACAGCCCTATTATTGTCTTATAGCAGTCACCCGCAGCTCACATGACTATGTTGTATCGAATTGGATATATGTATGTATAAGCAGGAAATGAATAATCAATTGCTTAAAAATTCATTAAAACTTAAAAGATATTTTGTGTATTCTGCCTAAACATATTTTTTTATTAGATTTAAAATTTGGAAAACCACTTGGAGACATCACAAGAATAATTTGTTCAATTGATTTCGCAATTATTTTTTCGTTTCCTTTGTTTATACCATGAACTTTTGAGATAGATTAAAATTTCTTTGAGTATTATTTCTTAAAAGCTTTTAAATTTCCAAGAGCAAACGATTTCACAAAAACCATTTGTTAACCTTATTGTAAAGCAATCCCTATTCAGTTTCAATCAAAAAATCTGATTCGATCACGTATTGCAGACTGAAAAGTGCTAATTTCTATTAACATCACAAAATGTATGTGTTGCTACCATCAGGAATACCAAACAATAGCGTCTAGAAAGCAAAGAAAACAGCAAAGATAAGCACGGAAATAAACAGTATATACCTATGTATATCTTAACGTATCAACGTATATATTTTATTCACTTGCCACTGCAGAGGTATTGTTTTTTGAAATTTCAGCAATGGCGACGTTTTTAATTTTTGTGGCTCTACAATTTTTCGCCGCTAATTGACAAACAAAGAAACAGTTAAAAGCCAGAAATCGAGGATTTTCCTCGGCGTTTAAAAATAAATCAATCAATAAACAAAGGAATTGCGACCAGCGATAAGAAGAGTGCGTGCTTAACAAATGTTTTCCGTTGCCTTTGGATTGTTCTTATTAATTAAATAATCCATATAGAGGCTATTTGTAAGTTGATCTCAGCTGACGATTTATATGTTACATATGAATACAGTAAAAACTTCTGTAGTTTGGAAATATAGGGCACATTCAACTTTAAAAGATATGAGGAATTTCGAAGTGGGTTTTCTAATGTTGTGACATTTTTTTGTAATTCCGGATTGCGGTATTTTGGCTTGATTCATTCACTAGTTAGCGATTAAAATTATAGTTTAACTTTTGGATGTTTCCCTGTGTTCATTATATGCCTGTGGGATTAGTCAGAATCTGTTGATAAGGAACAACTGTTGCCGCTTACAACACACTTTATACGATGATAAATAAACCAATCATGCGGTTCATTTGGCGGTGAATGCAAAAAGGGAAAGGGGGATGTTTCAGAACGACTGAAAATGATCTGGACTTTAGGATTACTCATGCAAATAAAAAAGTTTTGCCCCAACAAGCGATTAACTTTGCTAAGCTGTCGGCAATTTTCGTCTGCATTCTGTTAATTTAATTTAAAGCGAAGGCAAAAACAAAGGGAATGCAGAAATATGAAAAGTGTAAAAAGAGAGTATTGCGAAAAACACACCTAGAGAAAATCCTTTATCCAAATTTGCTAACAATGGTAACCACTTTAATTATGCTAGTAGATTTCCTAGTTGAACTGATATTACAATATTGATTGAACTATAAAATTTCATTCATATTTTCTATAGTTATTCGTTCAAATGATAATGCTTTTGAAATATAATAAAATTAATTAGTTTAACAACTAAAACCTCGAAAATATTGGTTCGATTTCTTAAACTCAAAAATGAGATCAGGGTTTTATTTGTTAGAATACAACAGTAAAAAGGAGGGCGCAATTAGGGCGTCACTAATGTTAAGTTTGCAATAACAGGGGTTATCGGCAAATATAGCTCATTTTATAGAGCAGTCCGATTCGATTCTCGATTCGAGAGATAGTCTTATCGGCAGGAAAACAAAAGCAAAAGAGTCTGCAGTGCAAACAATGAACAAATGAGACAGAGAAATAATATAAAACCGTTATATGGGAAGGGGTTAAAAGGGGTTAGCGGTGGTTGTTGTTGTTATTCTCAGCCCGCTTCGAGAACTTTTCTCCGGTTCAAACGATGACAAAGCGTTTTATCCAGTTTTTCCGTCTATACCACCCACTATTTTGCACTCACCTGAAATTTCCGCACCAATACGCTGGTCCCCAAGTGCATTTACTCGCCCCCAAAAGGTTTTGATCGCCCCCAATGGGCGTGGCAGCGGCGAAGAAGCCTGCAAAAAATGAAGGCAAACAAAGGGGCGAAAAGTTGAGGACCACAGTGCACAGTGCGAATACGCAATAAGCTATGACTAAACTACTTATTGCCCTCTTTATCATCGAAATTCTGCACTCACCGAAGGCACAGGAGAGTGCCAAAATGGCCAAAAGGCCAGTGCGCTGCATTTTCCCGGTTTTAACTATGCACTGATTAAAATTCGGGGGAGTTAGTTCCTCTACTTGCGATTACGGGTTTATATCTGTCGACGAAAACTGCAATTGAAATTGCAACGAAGTTGAGTAAATTTTTTATTTGTCTTCTGTGTGACCGTCGCCTCTTCTGGTGAACATAACATAACGCGATGACAAAGTGGCCGAGCAAAGCAGGTTTTCCTGACCTACTCACAGCTGGTCACACTGACACGGCGCAATTTTTAAATAAATATATAAAATCGGAAACTGATTCACCATTACTAATAAGTAGCTTAACATTGAACTAATTTTTTGTGTTTTAATATATTCTATCATATTTTTATTTGTGGAGCTTCGACTGCGAATGTTCTAGGAATAGCCAGAGCTGCCAGATTGTTTGACAATACTTAATAGACAATACTTACGATGTTATTGTAAAATGTAAGTGGAGTAAAACTTTGATAACACATTATCACTGTGGACTGAATAGCTGGTATAGCGTTGACTCCAACCTGTCCTGTTAATAACATTAATCAACCACCAAGAACGGAACACTATATTCACTAAATTAAATTGAAAATTGTTGTAAAGTCGTAATTTAAAAATGCTAATCTAATATGGGTGTTTAAAAGTTCAAAAAGCAAATATTGTAATCCACAATTAAATCTCGCACTTTTCCAGGTAAGCGACTTTTAAATCTGGATTTAATTGGTCAAGTTTCTGGAAGCTACTTCAAAAAGCTAAAATAAACATTGAGATTTTCTATTGATGAGTAAAAAAGGAGTTTTTGCAAGTTACATATATTTAAAGAATTGGCAACTTCCACATCAAATTAATAGTGCACTTAAAATGTTCACCCCAATGTTGGCAGCAAAGTAGGAAATTATAGCTCTAAAACTCATAACAATTTATAAAATCACTCATTCACTAAGCAAGCGAAACCTTCACCCGCGCAAATGCCTCAAAACGTATTTTTAATCGATTGCAATCCGCAGATTTAATTACATATTGCCGCGGCGCAACTATGACAATAACCATCAGAGATGTTCTTGAACTTAGCGCGGTTATTAATACGCCCCTTTTTTATGCTCAACCCCATCGCTTAACCCCCTTTGCCCGACCACTCGACTTCAACTAGCAGGTACATGATTAACTCGTCGAGAAGCTGGGCAAATTCTATTGTAATTGCCGGTTAATTGATGTGAGTCTGCCCACATGTAAAGCTCGAAAATGTTGGGGAAAATGCATCTCACTTTTAATTGTCGGCAAACACATTATTCTTCTGATCCCTATCGGCATGTAATTCTCGGATTGGGGTGCGTATCTAGCTCTGTGTGAGAAAAATCTTGAAGATACATTACATTTGAGAAGAATGCCAGACACATTCTCATAGCGATTGAAAGTCGAGGTCACCTGGTGGCCGTAAGTCGGTGGTTTGGCCAACGAAATGCCAAATGCTAGCACCGATCCGGCCAATACGGCCATAACTTGGCTATATCTGTGTCAAAACCAACGATTTGGTTGTTCAGGGGCTTAGAAGGAAACCTGAAACTGGTCGTGTTGACCGTGGATTGCAATGCCAGGCTTGCATTTCGGTTCTTTGACGGATCTTAACCCTCTGCAATCCATCCAAAATATTTGGAAAATAGAAAGAAAAATATTAATTATTAATAATCTAATCACTTGTTAAAAAAACTTAGGCATATATTGATTAAGTCCAATAACTACCAAAATGTAAAATTATCTTATAATTTAATTTGTTGTGAGCGAAAACCTTTTATAAAGCATTAAAGTATTCAAGTGAATATTACTCTCCTTTTAAGTGAATTTAATATTTTTATGGTTTTTGTTCTAGACAAATTTTTCAGCTTGGTATACAGAGGGTTAATTGCAGCGAGACACTGCACTTGACCATTGACAGTGAAGTCTGGCAACGAGACTGATATTATGGCAATTAAGTGGACCGCCAAAGAACAATCAAGTTCAACTGCGAAGGGGAAATTTTCAGCAATTAACAGGCTCATAAGTAAAAACAGTGAATCATTTGTCTAAAGTTTAACTTGAGAGTTTTAAAGACTCGCAGTTTTTTATTTATCTATTTTTTTAAGTCAGTTTTAATTTGTATCTTATTAAAAGCATTGTGAAATTGTTTTGGGCAGCTGAAATAAAACAGTGCCCTTTCGGACTCCAAGATTTAAAAAATTGTAAAGCTTTTTCCACGAACTTTCTTTCTGAGCTGAAGTCGAAGTAGAATTAAGTGCATCCATGAAAGGTAAATCTCCAGCAGTTCACACGCCGGAAGATAAAATCGAGGGGCAAAGGTTGATACTGTTGCGTGACCCGCGGAGAGATTGTTACCATGAGTTACCAACTCTAATTGCCGCGATTGCAAAGTGCGTCACATAAGGCCCCGTCTAATGGCTAATTGTTTTATGGCCACTCCGGCTGACCTCTTGGGCAATTTCCCTTCCCATGAAATTGGCTTTAACTCCAGTTACTTTGGGGTAGTAAGCTTTTAGATCAAGCGGCTAACTCTGTGCTTACTATGCGGAAATGAACTTGACCTTACCGAGGGAAACAGAGACCGCTAGCCAAAGCCAAATGCGAGTTAATCAATTCGGCAACAACTGCTGGCCATAATTTGTGAGTCAAATGCTATGGCTAATGGCAATAAACGAACGGAACACCGCACCAATAACAAAAGCAACAGCAGAAACAGAAACAGTTGAAGTTATAGTTAAAATCTACAACTCTTTTATTGCTGACTTTTTGGCGAAGGCTTCTCGGTTTCTAATTCCGCACGTAGTCCGTCCAGCATCGCCATCACCGTCCAGCATCGCCATCAACATCCAGATCAAGTTCAAGTATAGGTTTAAGATGAAAGAAGTAACCCAACTAGAAGCATTGAAACCTCAGATGCTAGCTTTGACCCATTGAACTGCTTTGCGAGAGACTAAGCACATGCTTTGCCTTATGGGAAACCAAACACGTTTGGCACGCTTATTTCTATATGATACAAAAGTGAATGAAGAACACTCAAAAGCATATAAAAAGTCAATAGCCGTTAAACTTTGTTGAGTATGTAAATAAGGAAACAATTGATAAGGAAATTTATTCATGTAATTGCTTATGCACAAATGTATTCTTAAAAGTTATTTTTATAAAAATAATATACATTTCGGTCCACTCAGAAGATGTTGCCAGCTAAATAAGTTGCACTACTAATGCTTTCTTAATAACCTAGTAAAAATTAAACTTAGAAACAAGTTTTTTTCAAGATTATTTAAATTTATTCTTAAGATCGGGACGGCGCGAACGCCATTCCCGGCTACCAAAAATAGCACGCACGAGTTATTCACATTAGGAATAATCGCAGAGGTCAACTCAGCCGAGGTGCAATGGCCAAGCCTCACTCCGGAGGAACCGCCTTCGTGATCACGGTTAACCTCTACGCCAGGTAAGTATGCTTTTCTTCGCTCGACTCAGGGGTTTCCATCGGGAAAGTGCTAGAACCAGTTGCGAATTATAATGAGCACAGGCCGAGATGCTCGGCTACTTACACTGCAAACCACCCTGAGTGTTAAGGTTTGTGTATGTGCTGTTTAGGGATGGTTTTCTTTTCTGGCCATAATAGTTTGTTCCAAACATAGTTGACATTATTATTAAGCAACCTGATTTCCAATGTTTTTAAAATATTAAACTCTCTCCAAGGTCTTAATATACCGACCTTCCTAAAAAATCTATTTATAACCAATTGTTGTGCTGTCAAGTAATTCAGCTAGGAAATTTTTAAAGCGCAGATGAAATAACATATTTTCGACAAATAATAACTCTATAAATATGTGTTATTTAAATTTTGAATATTTTCATAACCTGAAAAGAGATATTTCGAATGGTCTCTAGAAGTTTTACTCTAAAGTTTTGAACAATTTTGGCAGTCTTAGTTGGCATAAAAATTTTAAAATATTTAGTATTTTATTTTATTAGTTAAATAATTTGACCCGTATCCGATATCAGCCATGGAAATGGTTGGATAAGTATTATAATCTTGAATTTTCAGTCTTCTTCTCTTGTTTTCCTGCTCTATTTGAAACTTGGCTGAGCAGGAAGACAAATGAATACTAGTCTTTCAATGCCCTTGATCTTGAAAATGCCTGAGATAGAGGACAGCAGGCCCTCCACAAAAAGTTATTCACGAAGTTCACCGCCTATTAGCATAGACATGCGAGATGCTCGGATTGGATTTTGGATCTGCTGCAAATCACTCACGGATCAACTGCACGTAGGCTTATTAACATATACAACATACATACTCTATCAGAAGACGGAAAACCAAAACAAAACAAAGAAGACCATCATAACAACTACTCGCGAAGGGGGAAGCCCCTGAAACTTCAGTTTTTAAGACCGATGTTCTCTATGTTATGCTCTAATCTGCTGTGGAATTGCATGTCTATATAAAGTAAACAGAAATACGGAGAATTTGATGATAAAATTGTTAAATGAAAACAGAAGTGGTTGTGAGCGGTGACTTGGCACATTAGCAATCCGCTTTTTCCCCCGCGAAGCTGTTAATTCTTCTTTAATTAAAGAACGAGTCACTCCGCGGTCTCTTCCACTTCCTAGATTTTATTTTTTGACATGAGGTTTCGTAATCACTTGAATTTCTAGCTTCAAAGAGGCGATTGTAATGATCTATTGATATTTTGTTACAAAAAACGTTTCCCATGTGGTCTCTGACCAACTCTTTGTCGTCTTGTTATTATGCATGCAAAATAATTTTTTAAAGTTCACAAGCCTCCAACAAGTTTGGGAAAAAAGGTCCGGTTCTATAATTTCATTCACGTGCTAAAAAACACTTCTCTGTTTCTGGGATTATGTCACAAATCTCTGGAATGGCTGGGGAGCTCGATTAAAAATCAATCGTTAGCTATGCATCAGTAATACAAGGTTCTATGGGTTTTCAAAGAACAGGTTCCATGGCTTACAAAACAAAAGCAAAAACGAAACCCAAAACGCAGACGGCGAAATGATATTAATTTTGTTAACTAAGAACCCAAAAACGAGTTACGCAGGTTCCACCACGATCATCATCAATAAGAATGCGCACGAATTTTAATTTTGACGGGTACAACGAAACTTCCCCCTAACCTTGGGTTACATTTATCATTCGGTAGACAATCAGATCTCGATCTCCACCTCTGGCTATCGCTAATTGTCCAAGAATCTTCTGACGAAGGTTGCCTTCCACTAGTAACTTTGATTTCTAAGCCCCTCGAATCAAACGCTCCCATTGTGAAGTGTCTACTAGCGGACATGACAGTGCGTTTAAGCTCGTTTTAATTGCACTCCTATAATGAGATCCGAACTTGCAGTTAATGGGCGATCGTAGAATCGAGCGGCTTCATCCCAGTGCCAACCTTTTTGCCAAATGTTAGCCAAGGCTATTTGGCTATAAATGGGCGGGACTTAGCCTCCGGTCTAATCCTATAGATTTCAATAGACTTCAGAAAGGGTTGACACGGACACCCGCCCACTTTGATTGACTTCACATGGAGATCTTTTAGTTTTTAAAGTTTGCCATTTATGCACAAGGGCGCTCGATAAAAGCGCTAAATAAGAATTGTAAAAGTAATAATTTATACATGACGAAGATTGACTACTCTCGAACAATTATAAAATAATTAAAGGTAAATATCAAATTTAAACAATTTTTAACAATATTTTTAGCTTTCAATTAAAAAATCATATTAATTATCGAGTAAGGGGTGTAAAAAGAAATATTTAGTCTAAATTGTAACAGTCAAAAGGTGTCAAGAATATTTTTAAAAATTTAGATTTAGTACTGTCATGACGATAAAATGTTTTTTTCGTTAAATTATACAGGTTTTATTATGCAGGTTTTTATTCTAAAAAGCTTGTACCGATTTATTAAATGAAAGGAATTGGTTCAAGTTCAAGTTCAATCTTAATAGCTATCAAAGACTGGCATTTATTTGCATAGAAACCTGTTGATCGGAAAAATACGTAGATCAAAACAGGAATGATTAAAGTCTTTGTTTTCCTTTCTACAATGGAAATGCTTTCACCTGCTTTGACAAACCTTAAATAGAAATTGTAATGCCCTTTGATGGGGTAAAAAAGTACACAAACGTCACATATGAAATCGTAATCTCGACTGCAGCGCCGGCGATTTGTAGGTCCCATAAACAGTTGAAAAGCCCAGTCATCTAGGCAACAATACGACTGCAAGTCGAATGTATTGGCTACCTTTTTTACTAGACTTTGTATCTGTGTGTCTATCTCTATTACAAATACTAGCAAAGCCGGCTAAGAGATCGAGATACTCACAAATACAGCTTCAAATACAAATGCTATACAAAGCCGAGTTCGCGAGACGAGAGCTCGAAACCCGAAACGCTTAACCCGAAATTTGTTTTAGCACTTCTTTTTAAATTTTTGTGCAATCTCGGATTTTCGGTTAGTTGTCGTTTGGAGTTCGCAGCGTTTGAATCGTTGGTTAGCCGGGTCCGGTTCGAAACTCCGTGCGATAAGGATATATAATATAGAAAGTGAAGTGTGCAATAGTTATAGCTGAAGACTAAAACGATCTGTGGAGACTCTGTGAAGATGTCCTCGAAAGTGATTACCTCGTTAATGGCCGAGAGCATTCTGCTCTCGAAAGCGGCCCAAGTGATCTCCGGATACTCCCCGATTACGGTTTTTTTGGTGGGATCCATCGTTATATTTCTGGTGGTCTACAATAAGCGTAGATCCCGATTGGTGAAGCTCATCGAGAAAATCCCTGGACCAGCGGCAATGCCCTTCTTGGGAAATGCCATCGAAATGAATGTGGATCATGACGGTCAGTTTTGCAATTGAAATTCTCACCCATCGCACTTTTAGGTCTAAAATTCTTGCCTCGCTCGACTTTGTGGGTGCTCCAGTTAGTGATATTGACCCTGAGTCACTGGCGATTGCTATATTGCTAGAGCAAACAATTGCCGAGCAGGTGCTAATTTCTGTGATCAGCTCCCAATGAGGCATCCATCGAATTTTGGTAGTAGTAATCGCAATACCTGTTAAATCCCTAGTGTTAATGAACTTTACTTTCCGAAGTTCACTTTCGTTGCTGAAGATTTGTAGGGCAACGATTTTGGTCAAGTTCGTGGTCCCAAAAAGACGGGCTGATAATTGATTAAAAGAACTACCTTGACAAACATTTTAAAAATGCAAAAACCTGTTGGAAAATAGATTGCAATAAGAAGTTGATTTATGCATTTTCTGTTTGCCTTTTGTTTTGTCGTCCGGTGAAACACATAATTAAATTAACAAATTTTTTATTTGTTTGCGATACGCCACATCGTCGAAAGGAGGCAAACAAAGCTGAAAAAAGTCGACGTTCAATTGAGCATGCAGCGTTGGCATAATTCTAATGAATTTTAATTACGGGAGAGCTTTGAACAGGAGGCATTAACCTTTCAACAGTTCAAAGATTAATTTCGCAAAAAAATATATAATATTTAAATGCTTTCTTGAATTATAAAACAGCCTTAAAACGCACAAATTATAACCCGAATTAGTGTTGATCTTGATATAAGGCCGGATCTGCCGACTTTCGCCGGACAAAAAGCAATTTGACTCGGCATTTCACATGCGATTTACATGAATTTGTTTTCCGATCTCAAAATAATTAACAAATATAAAGAATTGGTGGCTAAACAGCAGCCAGAAGCTGCTCATAAATCACTCACATAACAAGCTCGACGAAAAAAAACACTCGAAGAGTGATAAAAATAGCCATAAACTGTGAACAGACTTGGCTAAGACTTTGAGGCCCAGAAAAAATAAGAAAAAAGGTCCAAAGAGCAGACAATGGAAGTGGTGTTGATCTTGACACTGAATGGCAGAATATCCATCATAATTGGACCCGGCTTGGCGGTTCTCAATCGATCGAGGGGTCTGATTAATTCGCATTCCGCGGATCCGGCGTTTTGCAACCCCCCTCTTCGGAAACAAAGCAAATTAACATAAATTTAAATGCGGAAGCGCAAGATACAAGATACAAATTCGGCTCGTGGTCACTGCAGCTAAATCGTGTAGGAAATGGATTTGATAAAATGTATGAAATATGCTACTCAGTCGATGGGTGCTAAACCCCAATGGATTCGATTCGTTTCCGTTTGGCGTTCTTTGTCTTTGCCTTCGTGATCGTTAAACCCAAATCAAGTTTTTGGATGTTTATCTTGAGAGTTCTTTTGGGGCCTTTGATATCTCCTCTTTGAGCCCAATTAGCATTTACATTGGCAGGGGTTTCGTTGGGCATTTAAAAGATTTACAGCCTGCTTTTAATAACTCGAGAAGAACCTTATAAACCTGTTCTATTAAGCAGAGAAATGCTTTGCTAATTCGTAACATCTCCATCCAAAATTTGCCGCAGCACTTTAAGGTCGCCATATAATCAAAAGACTTGCTCAAGAATATTTCTGCCAAGGCAATCGAGCAGCTTGCATATAATTTATGAACCGATTAGCAGCCAGTGGAGTTTTATTAAATTTTTTTTATAATTTAATTTAAGAACGGATCTCAAATGGCTGCCGTCTGTTTGCCTGCGCAATTACGAGGCTTTTGTTAAATGCTTAAAACTGAAAATAAAAATGAAAATGAAATATGATGTTGCAGCAAATGGCTGAAGGTCAAGCGGTTCTTGATCATTTAGTTTTTCCAAGATACCTCGGGCTTTTGAAGAGGCAGCTTGGCAACATTTGGAGTGGAATGATGTCGAGTGTTGCCAAGGCTTAAACGGGTTTCCAGTTCTGAGTTTTTAGAGTTCTATTGCCAACAAAACGGGGGTCACGGTTTTTTTCCAGTAGTTGTGGGTGTTTTTGGGGTTCAATTTAGCTTCTGTGGCGCTGCTGTGCGATCTGGTAACTGCTTTTTAATCTGCACTACCAATGTCAGCCAAGGAAATTGTGTCAGACGTAAATTGTTTTCAATTGCTAACGCAATTTTAGTCAGCTACCGCTAAGGTGACAACATATAAGTCCATGAGAAAGTTAAAATTACCCATTGCTACCCTACAACAACAATATACCTTGCGTAAATAAATAGGTTTATTTTCATTGATGATACGACCACTTAAATTTTCAATTACCCATACATTAGTTGTAAGAGGAAAACCCCCGTTTTAAATAAGGGCACGGAATAATCACTCCTTGCTTATTAGATAAACTATTTTTTACTTGTTGCTATGGGTTCTAATAAACACTTTCACTAAGTTTGATTTCCATTGCCTATCCAAAGGTAAAATAATTTAAGTGTATTATTATGGTTGACCTTACAGTATTAGAACTGAAATTTATTTCGACTTTCGTGTTTTTAATAAGCTAACAATTTAGTCTATTAACCTAAAAATTATTGTCCCTCAAAAGCTTTTGCTTAAAAAAGGGAATAACACACATTCCTTTTATAAGTTTTCGACATTATACCTAAGTAAAGTAAAATTATGGATAATTTTTTGTCTTACACATTAACATTTGAAAAAAATTACGTTAAAATAATTACCTGGCTACGTAGATACCTCTCATCACTTGTGGCAGACAGCCTCCAAGATATAACTACACAAAATGATAATGAAGGGACCCATAGACCGGCAAAAGAGATTGCATGAAAAGTGCTTTGTTTTGGCCAGTACGAAATTCGCTGGCCAACTGGCAACGGCCAACTTCCGATGAAAGAGCGGCCCAAGAGTCGAACCCACCTGAGAAATGCCCCACCTGAGAAGTGGTCGCGAAACAGCGATTCGCATTTCGGGCGGTGGGGTTACATAAAATCATTATTAGTGATAGAGATTGCTGAATGGTCGGGCATCGTTGTTTGCGTTGTGTGTTTCATCTTTTAATTAATGCAACACGTATGAGCTGCGACACAGAAACATGAACACCTTATGCGACGGTGTTTACATGGTTTTATCTATGAGTAACGTGCCTCTGGTCAGGTCAGTTTTGGCCCGAGTTTCGGGTGAGAAAAGCCCCGGCTTATTAACTGGGCCACAAAGAAAGCAATTGGGGTGACCTTCATGGGGTCGAAGAAGGGGCAGTAGAAAAACAAAACAAGTTACCGTGACATCTAAGAAATGTACACATTATATATATAAAAAAATTATTTACAAATTTTACAAAATCTACGAGGTAATATTACAAAATTTACTACGAAATAAACCATATCCTATAATAATAATAGAAATTGAACATTTATTTCTGAATGAAGCAAAAGTGATCATTCGAAAAGCTGACATAAATCGTTCTCCCACCCATATTGTTCAATCGAAGCATCTAAACTGGTTTTTCGGCCAACTCCTATTATTTTTGCAGAGCTCTTTAACCGCGTCATCGGCATGCAAAAGCTGTGGGGCACGCGTATTGGAATCAATCGTGTTTGGCAGGGGACAGCACCACGAGTGCTTCTCTTCGAGCCCGAGACCGTGGAGGTGAGTTTGATTTGACGGAAAACCCCCAAATCAAAGCTAACTAAACTCTTATTCATTTCAGCCCATACTGAACAGCCAGAAGTTTGTGAACAAGAGCCACGACTACGACTATCTGCATCCTTGGTTGGGCGAGGGTCTCCTGACCAGCACAGATCGCAAGTGGCACTCCCGCAGAAAGGTGAGTTGGGTCACCAAAACTTATAGCAAAGTTTACAAAACTGCAAACATATTTATACCCAAAATGGGCTAATTTAATTTGCATATTAGTTTGTTTAATAAATTAAACATTTTTGAACTTGCATATAAATAAAACATTTAACGAGACAAATGTATTAATATAGATATTTAACTTTAAATTCAACTCATATTACACTGTATATTTTATCACTATTTTTACCTTTGCTAAGATCTTACTAATTTTGGAAATTCAACAGATCCTCACGCCCGCCTTCCACTTCAAAATCTTGGATGACTTTATTGACGTCTTCAACGAGCAGAGCGCGGTTTTGGCCAGAAAACTGGCGGTGGAAGTGGGCAGCGAGGCGTTCAACCTGTTCCCCTACGTCACGCTCTGCACATTGGACATTGTCTGTGGTGAGTGTCAAGATCGGTTATATGTTCCAGATCGGGTGACATTATATGTGGCTAATTGCATACGTCATTCAATTCACAGAAACCGCCATGGGTCGCAGAATTTTCGCCCAGAGCAATAGTGAATCGGAGTATGTGAAGGCGGTCTATGGGTAAGATTGGACAATTTCTAGAAAGTAAGATGGGAAGTTTGCATGCCATAGATTTATTATTACCAAAAATTGCTGACCGATACAATCTATGGTCAAATTATAAAATTTCCTGCAACACACAAAAACTATTTATTGAAATGGCAGACATGTTTTCATTGTAATCCAATTTAAGCCAAATTACTTATAATCATTTGAAGCAATTGGCTTTTCATATTATTCACACTGCCGCTAAGTGTTATACATTTGTTGATTATATGGTTTCGTTTCCAGGCACAAAATATAAATATTAGAGAAGTATTGAAATGTTTACTTCACATTTTCGATCAAAGTTGAAATTGTTATTAGTTATTCAAAGTCATTTCCTCTTTAGTTTACATAGATTTATTCACAAATGGTTTCATTTTCGTCTGGTTAATGAAACTGGAACATTGTCTGCCCCATAAGAAATTCGACTTGTGCCACGCAAATAGTTAATTATTTTTTCACTGTGCTATTTATTCAAATTAAGAAAGTTGATAGTTTTTTAGGAAAGTATTTTTTGTAAAGCATCATTTCTCTTATCGTTTATATCACCAATATTAATAATTTAAAAATAGCACATTTAAATGCATTGCAAAATGGATTTTTTGATGGTTCTTTTTTTAATCTCTTTTACTTAATTATCATAACTCTGTTTAAGTAAATTTTAAAATCCTACAATCAAATGTTCCTTAAAATTAGCCAAAAAAAAATTATATTTCTGTCCGCTTGAAAATATGCAATTATAAATTTTAAAGTCGTTATGGTAAATTCAAATATTCCATTGCATATTTTTAGCCTTGTTTGTAATTGTTTAAGACTAAAAATGCTGTGCGAGTTACGGAAAAAAAACATTTATATTAAAAGTACTTATATAATGTAAATGTCACAGTTTTTCAAATCTAGGTATGGAGTCCTATATTTGTTTTCCAATTGTAAGCCATAACCCAGGAAATTTCTGTCTGACTGCATTAATAAAATATATCATAAGCCCTGGCGAGCACTGGGAATAATAACATCAATAGCATACGCAACTCTTCCTCATTTGGCGAAGAGTTATCAGCGTTGTGGCAGCAGTTTAATATCGAAAGCTGTCAGAACAGCTGTCAGGGAAAGAGACACCCTTTAGATACACATGTCCTTCCACCTTCTGAACCCATTTTCCCCTCATTGTCCTCCCATTTTCCGCCCTGTGCGTGCGGCAGTGGGTGGTGGATGCATCCAAGCGCAAAATATGCGAGATTAAGATGTCAATGGGATGCTTGAAGTGCTCCGAAGCTGATAACAAACAGCATCGGACCCACATTCCCACTCCAGCCACGCCTCATAGAACACACCCATTGAACAGTTGACTAACTTTCAATTTAACGCAACACTTTCTCATTTCCTGTTACTAACTCCATAGATGGAATGTATCTGGGAAAAAAGAATATAATCTTAAATCAACTAATTAAATGGGTCTTAAATATAAAACAAACAAATATAATGACTAACTTCTACGCATAGATAAAATAAATCTGGAAAAAAATATATTTGCTAACAGAATATAATCTGAAATCAACCAATTAATGTGTTTAAACAAAACAAACAAATATCGCTTCTTATGGCTACAATTACTTCGGTGTTTAAAATAAGCTAATGATTAAAACTAATAATGAATAATTTGGTACTTATGGTAAATGCAAAATATTTCCAAATCGGAACTGTTTACAAACTTTATTTCTTTATTTACGTAGTATTGGCTCGATTGTGCAGAGTCGGCAGTCGAAGATCTGGCTGCAGAGCGACCTTATTTTCCGGCTAACTGCGGACTACAAATTGCATCAGAGCTACATAAACACCCTGCATGGATTCTCCAATATGGTAATCCGTGAACGTAAGGCCGAGTTGGCCATTCTCCAGGAGAACAATAACAACAATAATAATAATGCCACCGATGCTTATGACGATCTGGGCAAGAAGAAGCGACTGGCTTTCCTCGATCTCCTGATCGATGCCTCCAAAGAGGGAACGGTGCTATCGAATGTAAGTTTAAATAGGTATTTACTTGTTTAATTTTCGCTTCTAATACCGTAATAATTTCTTTTTAGGAAGACATTCGTGAGGAGGTGGACACTTTCATGTTCGAGGGTCACGACACCACCTCTGCTGCAATTTCCTGGACTCTGTTTTTGCTGGCTTGCCATCCCGAATATCAGGAGCAAGTGGTGGAGGAACTGGATGCCATTTTCGGAGATGACAAGGAGACGCCGGCCACCATGAAGAATCTGCTGGACATGAGATATCTGGAGTGCTGCATCAAGGACTCACTACGTCTTTTTCCCAGTGTGCCAATGATGGCGAGGATGGTGGGCGAGGATGTTAATATTGGTAAGCTAAAAGTCACTCAGAAAATATTTATCTTTTATTTTCAAAACTAAATATCTCTTTTACCAAACCAATTTGAGATGTTACCTAGTTTATGGTTTAAATTTATAAGCTTTTTTTACATTTTAACTATCCACACAGGCGGAAAAGTCGTGCCCGCTGGAACTCAGGCCATCATCATGACCTATGCCCTGCACCGCAATCCGCGCATCTTTCCCAAACCAGAGCAGTTCAATCCGGACAACTTCCTGCCGGAAAACTGTGCCGGTCGCCACCCCTTCGCCTATATTCCATTCAGCGCCGGACCGCGTAACTGCATCGGTCAGAAGTTCGCCATTCTAGAGGAGAAGGCTGTGATTTCCACCGTGCTGAGGAAGTATAAGTTCGAGGCAGTGGATCGACGGGAGGATCTCACGCTGCTGGGCGAACTCATCCTGCGGCCCAAGGATGGCCTAAGGGTTAAAATTACGCCAAGGGATTGAGGAGCTGATTCCCAGAAAGCGGAACCTCCCCAATTCGCTTCGATCCAAAGGACATTGTAAATAATTAGATTTAACCGGACTCGTAGGACTAGAGATTAGTTTATGTTAAACTTTGTAACCGATGCAATAATTTTTAGCTTAAGAATAAACCTCATCGAATAATGTGTTTAAGTCCAGACTTTAAAATGGTTAAAATTAGAAGTATGATTCATTATATTTTTGGATGTCAGTGTATTAGATAGGTCCCTTTTAATTCAAACAAAATAATAATAGGTTTTAGCAAGGGGGTTTTAGCAGGGGGGCATCTAATAAAGCATACAGATATTTGTTTTTAAGAAAGAGTGCCGTAGACCTTAACCTCGGCTCGCCTTATATTATCCGCTAACCAGATGGTTTGGAAAAGGTAGTCTCCCTGGGGAAAAGGCAAAGTTTTTGTGAATTGCGTATTGACAAATTCGGCAGAGAGCTTGTCAACAATTAGATCGTTCTGAAAGTAAAATATTATGCTAGTTATAAAGTATACCAATTTAAAATAGTTTTAATCGACTTACATTATAAGGACATGTATGATTTATGTTGGAGCTATCCCGGAAAAGACTGTGAGCAAATGTAAATACAGGGTTTGATTTTGGATACTTTATAACCTTGCAGACATCCACAGAAATGTTATAGAGGAATGGCTGATAGCCATTGTATCTTTTGAAGAACGCAAAGTTCAGCTGGAACAGTACATTAGTTAATTTTAAAATTTCAAAATTGTTCACCTTACCCCAGCTTTGGTAATGGGAATCTTATACAAGTTCACTTTAAGCGTGACATATTTATAAGTACGATTCACCGACTTTAGGCGACAATACTCAAAGTTGCAAAAATCCGGATCCAAAGATGTGCACTTGATATTTGTAAACTCGAATTTAGAATAAACCTATGAAGAAAGCTGGTTATATGAAAATTATATGCTTCCTGAAAGTAGCTTACTTCTTTCATTGAATAAAGTATCACAATACACAAAAATGTATACTTCAAGGACATCGTAAAAATATGATAGAATAATTTGAAAAGTTGTTTTTTAAGTATATAGATTTATCAGATATTATTTTTGTCTGGCGTCACTCTCCATTAACTGCGTTTATGGGTATTATTACTACATATGCTAGCAATTCATTTGATGCGAGTAAAAAGTTTTAAGTCCAGCTAAAAAAAATATTAGTTGAATTAAATTGAATTTAGATTTATTATACAATACAGTTGATTTCGTAACAAGTGAAAACAAATCTTTTTAACACATTTTGTAAAAGAATATGTAGCTTAGCTTGTTAATAAATAATTTCAAAATATATTTCGTTTTGTAGTGACTATATAAACGTTTACCACCGACTAAAACTGAAATCAAGCCACCTAAACATTTTAAATAAGGTTCAGAAAGCTTCCATAAAATAATTAAACATCATTTAGATCTTTATTTTGATGTTTCAAATGGGAAAATATAATTGGATGGTTAAAGTACACTGTAAATAATTAGATTTAACCGGATGGTTAAAGTACACTGTAAACAATTAGATTTAACCGGATGTCGTAGGACTAGAGATTAGTTTATGTTAAACTCATCGAATAATGTGTTTAAGTCCTAACTTTAAAATGGTTTAATGGTTCATTTCTATTATTTCGTTATATTTTTTTATGTCAGTGTATTAGATAGGTACATTTTTAATCCGTAGGCAGATTTAATCACCTATTGCGGTCCATCGGAGCTGTTATAAAGTCATTTTAATTTTGGTTTAATTGTAGAAAAATATGGAATAAGGCAATTTAATCCATAATTATACAACATTTTATTCGTAACATATCTTAATCTACACAACATTTTGAAAAATAGGGGTTCCCAAATAGCCAACTATGTTTTAAGGTCCATTAATTGCCTATATACATATTTAACAATTCACTATTGGGATTCCCGGTAGATATGCATTGAAAAGGCAAAATAATGGTAGCACTAAAGGTAATAGGTTTTAACAAAATGACATTTAATAAAAAAAACAAACATATATGCAGATATTTTTTTTATGAAATAGTGCCGTAGACCTTAACCTCGGCTCGCCTTATATTATCCGCTAGCCAGATGGAGTGGAAAAGGTAACTTCCCAGGGGAAAAGGCAAAACTTTTGTTACTTGCGTATTGACAAATTCGGCAGAGAGCTTGTCAACAATTAGATCGTGCTGAAAGTAAAATATTATGCTTATTATAAAATATACGCTTTGAAGATGTTTTTAATTCACTTACATTAAAAGGGCATGTATGATTCATGTTGGAGCTATCCCGAAAAAGACTGTGAAAAAATCCAAATACCGGGTTTGATTTAGGATTCTTGAGAACCTTACAGGCATCGACAGAAATGTTATAGAGGAATGGCTGATAGCCATTGTATCTTTTGAGAAACGCAAAGTTCACCTAAAACAGAAGATCAATTAACTTTAAAATTTATATTTTTTATCAGCCTTACCCGAACTTTGGTAATGGGAATTTTATACAAGTTCACCTTAAGCGTGATATATTTATAAGTACGATTCACGGACTTCAGGCGGCAATACTCAAAGTTGCTAAAATCCGGATCCAAAGATGTGCACTTGATATTTGTAAACTCGAACTTAGAAGAAATCTGTAAAAAAAGCTGGTTATATGGAAAATATATCCATCCTGAAAGTAGCTTACTTTTCTCACTGAATAAAGTATTACAATACATACAAAAATAAACTTCAAGGACATCGTAAAAATAAGATTGAATAATTTGAAAATAATTTGCGGCGAGTTTATTTATTTTTAAGTTTATAGTGATTTCAGCAATTATTTTTTTTTCTGTCCTTATTCTCTATGAGCTGCGTTGAAGGGTAATTAGCGTATGTTAACAATTCATTCGATGCGAGTAAAAAGTTTTAAGTCCAGCTATAAATATTAGTTGAATTAAATTAAATTAAGATTTATACTTCAATACAGTTGATTTCTCACCAAGTGAAAACAAATCTTTTTAACAAATTTTGTAAAAGAATATGTAGTTTAGCTTGTTAATAAATAATTTCAAAATATATTTCGTTTTGTAGTGACAATTTAAACGTTCACTACCGACTAAAACCGATACCAAGCCAACTAAACATTTTAAATTATTTTCAGAAAGCTTCCATAAAGTAATTAAACACAATTTAGATTTTTATTTTGATATTACAAATGGAAAAATATAATTGGATGGCTTTTGAAATTGGGCAATTAAAAATATATTTTATTATACCCTTGCAGAGGCTAGTTTGAAGCTATCTGGATGAAACTTTTCCAAAAGTTTTTCTTCTATAGTAGTTATTAAAATGTGGGATAATAAAATAAAGGCCTAAAAAATTAATAATTTGCCTCGTAAGGGTTAGTAAGATTATATTGCAGTGACTACTGAATAAATTTAACGACTTGTTTAAATTTTGATTGTTTTCAAAATCTACAACCATCCAACCGTTGTAGATAAATGGCTTATACTCAGTATTCCTTAACATAGGGTAGTGAATAAGATGCTGCTAAAATTTAGTTTACTAGGTTTTAAATAAATATATATTTGAAAATTGAGTATTTTTAATTAACTTTTAATAAATAGAGTTTTTTTCAGTCAAAACCCATATTTAATTAAAATTTAACTTCATGTTGCTTTAAATTAATAATTGAGCCCACTGCTAATTCCGTTCCGTAATAATATTTCAGAAAAATGGACTACCAGTGGATGTCAACAAATGGCGCCATTTATCTGTGCTCTTTTCCTGCAACTATTTATGAACATTTATGTGAGTGCTGGTGCCCTTTTCCATAATTTCCCGCTTTTTTCTTGTATTTCTTTTATTTTTTGCAAAATGGAGCGGCGCCAGAGCTTAAAGGCAACTTAAGTGTGCTCACAGTTTGTAATGCACAAATAAATGCGCCGGGCAAACAAATGGGTGGTGCGGTGGTCGGCCATTGGTTATATATATCTAAATGGATATTATGCGCATATTTCCCGGGTCGGCGTTAGATAACTCGAATCGGAGCAGGAACAGATAGCTGGCTAGATAGATAGATAGATAGATAGATAGCTAGATCGATAGCCGGCGATGATAAGCGAACGGAGAGTGGGGACGTGGCCAATGACGACTCCTCCGCCGGAATGGGCAAACAATCAATTAGAATGGCAAAATCTTCGCAAATGCAATAAAAATCCACGGAACGCAAAAGGGCTTAAAAAGTAATTCCCGAGCTAGAAAAATTGTGGCCAGGAAAGGGTGATCACCGCTAGGTGAGAAATGGTGGAGAGTGAGTGGCCCTGAAATCATGACGATCCCTATCGATGTCTGGCGAAAAAAAAAACTCACCCACTTACAGACCGTGGTAATAAATCGATTGCCACTGCAACTGCACTTTTATATATGGCTTTATGCATTTACAATGCCAGCGATTATTGTTTGTTTTAGTTTACAACCAGACTTTAAAACCAATCGATCACAATTGGCCACTGACCAAGTGAGTTATGTGTGTCATGTGAACGGAAGTTTAGCCGGCAACATTTCCCGCGAACTTTTCTGGAGAAACCTCCTTGCAGCATATGCTTTTTAAACCCTTGAGTAATTATGCGTACTCCCCATGTTCCCCGACTTCCCCCCGGATGTCACTTAACCGGATTGCGCCTGCGACATCAAAACAAATTGCACTCCCTGGTGGATAGCACACAAATCTGATTAGAAAAACATTTACAAACGCAAATCGCAAGTTAGCGACGACGTTATCCCGAAAAGGGGAGGGCAAACCCACCCCTGACATAATTTGATGTGTGAACTTTCGCCGGCGCAGGACGTTCTGGGATGGGTCTAATTTGATTGACGTCAACGCGCCCGGAAATTGTGGGAAAAAAGATGGGCAGACACACTGACAAAAATGGACTACAAATTAGAATATTTTATAAATGTTAAAACGGGTTACTATTAGGTAACAGAATCGGCTACATCAGTTCATTTATTATATTTATCTTATAATCATTTATATATATAGTACAAAATATATTTAAAATTTTTTTTTTTTGAAAAAGTTATTTATTAATTTTTGTTGTTTGTCAAATCTTAGTTTAACTAAACTGTTCAAAACTAAATAGTGTTTAAAAAGGATGAATTCATAAGCAATAATTGTTTTTAATTTAAAGACAGATTTTTGCATTTTCAGATTTTGATTGATTTAATAAAGTCGTTGCTTAATTTTCCTCAGTGCACGCAAAGAAAAGGTTTCACAGTGGACCACAAGTGGCAGAAGACTCTATCCGCTTTTGTGGCAGGTAGTATCCGGGTCCTGTTCCTTTTCCTTCTGTGAGTCCGTGTCCTGGCCAATGGAAATGATATCCAAACAAACTCAATTTGGTTTGCTGCCAGCGCCTTTGACAGATTAGCAGACAAAGCGAAAGAGGCGCGACTGCAGCGACACGTGACCACCAGTTTGGCATAGGGCGGGTGGCTGTGGGTTGGGATAGTGGGTGGTGGTGCAAGGACACCGGCAAACTCGTATTCGTATTCCATTTGGGCGAGCATACAAAATTGATTTGGTTGTAGCACAAGCAAAATATTTGCCAAAGACAGCAGCCATTAAACAGATGCTGCTGTTGCTGCTGAAACTCGGAAATTCTGGCTCCTGATTTTCCAGCAAGGACACGTGCCGGCCGGTGATGGTTGGGTGGTGCACTTGCCAACGCCGCTGTCACGTGCCACAGGCGGCAAATTAAACAAGGCGCAACATGGGAAGCAAAAGTTTAACAATGCAGAAAATTGAAAAACAATCAAAAAACCCAGCCGCAGAAAGAGGATGGCAGTGAAAGTTAAGTGCCGGCATGCATCCGGGGATACAGGAGACAGGGTACAGAAATCGGGATAGAGGATACAGTCTCCTGTTTGCTCAGAGCGCGCGTTTCGTTTCGTCTCACTTTATTTGGCCATAATTAGCT